AGAAGATATCAATCAGACAGCTACAAGGGTTAGCCAAAAAGGCAATATCAGTGTGTTAAAGGATAATACCTGGCACATCCTGTCTGCAGTAGGAGAACACTGTGAGATCAGAAAGAAACCCGGTGGACACATGGTGCACTTCTGACACTGCGGTGGGTCCCTCTGAAAATCACAGAACTCCTCCTGCCCACAGGGTGAAGGGCATCCCAGTAGAGGCTGGGGAAAATGAGCCTCTCCAACTACATCCATCGCCTTAGAGTCTATGTTCATTTTGTGGACAGCGTAGGACTTCTGCAGGTGGCTGCGGGCCTGGCTCTGCAGACCTGCCAGGTGGTTCTCAAAGTAGCTCTGCAGCTCACCCTGCAGGCCCTGGAAGGAAACCTGTTTGACGGTGTCTGAGAGGAGACCGTACTGGGCCTTCACCACATCCATCTGCTCGTACATGCGCCGCTGCTGCTCCAGGATCTCCCTCTGCTGGGAAAGTAGAGCCTCCTGTTGGTCGGCGAGCTTCTGCTGCAGGTCTCTGATGACCACCTGCTGGGCTCGCAGGGCCTCCACCAGCTTCTCCTGCCCCTTGGCCAGCTGGAGGTGCAAGATGAGGGCATCTTCTGAGGGAACTTCATTCTCCCCTGAGAGGATCATAATGCAGAATGAAAGATGGGATCAGACAAGTTCTCATTGTTCAACACTGCAGGGGAGGAAGTGATTAAATGAGATTAAGACTGATTCGTTTGATTTGTGCAAATAATGCTGGAACAAAGTGTGAACACCCAGTGACCCCATTCTATTGGTCTAGCCATGGCAAGTGCAATGAAAGTTTCCTGTATGGACCAACATCAAAGCACTCTACATTTTCTGGACAATTGACTTTGAGACTTTTTTCCACTTCAGCTGCTCCAGTTGCTCTGCAGATATAATTTTGGGCTGAAGGACAACAAAGTCTTCCTTTGCTTTTAAACATAATCCTTTTTTGCTGATCATTGGTGGACTTAAAGCGAGTTAGGGTAAGTCAATCAAGAGTGATATGCCTTTAGTTAATTTATGCGCAAAATAATAATTGATCAACTTCTTTTGAAGATTGTCACTCAACCAGAAACGCCTAAAGGCATGTTGGTGAACTTCATCAGCATATAATCATCTAAACACAACAATTGAAAATTTTTGATGACAGTGATGATGATGATAGCAGACCTGGCTTGATGTCACATGTGAGCTGGACACCCAAAGGCGCGCTGCCAAGTTCCGGCGACGGATATCCAAGCTCCGGAAAATCTCCCAGAAACTGTGCGGCTCTGTCGGACAGATGGACAGGAGAAGGCTGGCTGGCGCTGTCCTCAGAACCGGCCAGACATCCCTCTCCCACACAAGACTTTGCTCGCGCTTTGGGCCGTATCCTCAGTGGCAGCCTGCACTCGATGCCTCTACAGTCTCGGGTGTCATTAGTGGGCTGAAATGGTTTCACAAGAGCAGCGCAGTCCGCATCCGTGCACCCTGCAAGTAAAAGTTCAGGCGCTCTTATGCGTGCGCCGCCGCCGCCGATGTCACCGTGCCGCCCGCGAAGTGGCTGGGCAGCCGGATAGGATTCCGATGCTGCTCTTGGAGAGCTCGGATATGCATGGTGCTGGCTGGCGACGATCTGCGCCGCTCTCCCATGCGTTGTCGGGTTGAACTGCCGCGGCGGTCTGGAGGATCTGCTCCCCGGACAGTGCGCTCCTGTGCACGGTCTTGGATCGACGGTTTCCGCGCCGTAGCAGTGCGCACCCCGGCAAATCTCTGCGACAGCTTGCAGTGACATCCAAGACAACAGCAGCAGCACTGGTGTTACTAAAACCATTTTGCATCAGCTATATATGTCTTTCTCCCTGCAAAAGAAGAAAATGCGAGTTAAGCTGTTGATCACAAATGGTAAATCTAACTCCGTCGCCGATCTTCTCCTTCCAGATTAACCCCCTCTCTGTCACAACTGAAAACAAACTTTATCATACTTGACACAGAGACTCTTGATCTGCAGTTCTTGACAGAACATTACCTTCAGCTCCAATATTTGTTGAGACTGGCTTTCAGTAAGGAATAAAAAACATTAGACACACGCATTACTGCGGGCTCTCTCCGTGCCTGACCCACTCTGAGGGCTTCTGCACTACAATGTCAGTATGTGGCATTCCTAAGACTTAATTAGCATCAGGTTTCCCCGGCCACAAATTAACCCTTCACCTTCCCTCTTTACAGGAATTCCCCATTGAGGTGAAAGAAGACAGAATGAAACATTTTCTAAATCACAAAATGTAAATATTTGCTCCCATTTTCATTTTCAAAGTAAACACAATGGGACATGTTGTCTATGCATTGCCAAAATTATGTTCTCCAGTCCCGTCATCTTTTTTCGGGTGACTGTCACTTTTCATTTTGCTCACTGTTGACTTTCCTATGACCTTATGGCCATCCAAGTTGCAAAAGTGGCAGTGTTTTTTGTTTAGCACATCCTGAATGTTGAGACAGCTGCTGGTCCTCATCCTGCTTGTCAATACCGAATGGGCCTCTGTATGGACAGAGCCAGCAGAGGTCAAACTTTTGTTGAAGGGGCCTATGGCAGAAGTCAGGAATGCAAAACTCACAGCTGGTTTTTGGACTCTCCCTATCTTTCACTTTACTGCCTCAGCACAACCACATGTCCAGTGAGAGGTTATCTGAGATTGATGTGTGGTGGGTTTGTAGATTGGAAGGTTCTGGTGTCATTTTCTGTTTTCTGATTATTTCAAGGTCAGGCAGGTATGAAAGCCAATTTCTGCAAAGACAATTATGGAAACTTGACATTTGGCTATGACAATAAAAGTCATAAGTCAAAAACATATCTCATAACTTTGACTTCATTTTGACTTATAATTCTAATTCTTCTATCTCATAACTTTACTTAATAATTAAACATTTTGACATATTAATTGAACATTATAATATCTCATATTTGTGGCTTATGTTTTGACAATTTGCCTTAGTTTTTCATAATTTTTAATTAAATTAATTAAACTCTTGACTTAGTATTTAATCATTTTGACTTATTATCTCATAATTTTGATTTACCATCTGCATTTTTATTCATGTCTTTTACTTGGCAGAAATGGGCCTCCATAGACAGATGACTTGGACTCATATTAAACCTTGTTGTTGGATCCTGTTGGTAAATAAATACTGCCAAGCAGAGCAGGGTGGGCAATTGGAAACTTAAATTACTAGCTTACCTGCAAAAACATCCAGCTAAATGTTTGTTATTTTCCTGGTATAAACATGCAGAGTGGATCAGTGCTCCATAAAGAAAATAAGAGGAGCAGGTTGGTACCATGAGCTGCTTTATACCACCCACTGAGTTCAGAAGTGTTGAACAGTACAGTAGAGTACAAACAGAGGGCACTATAACACTCTGATATGCATCACTTTTCACCTCTGCAGTACTTCATTTGACTAATGCTTTATCGTGTCGCAAGGTGCCCACTGTTTTTGTCATTATCACCTCATTTTCTTTCAGTGCAGAAAATCTCAAGACAAGTATTCAGAGGTGTGTCAGAGCACTCATATTTAACATGATGGAGACTAATGGCTTAAAAGTATGCCCTCTCTTACACCTCACACCTTACCATCTGGGGTCCTGCAATACTTTAAAACCAAAATACTTCTCTTTGTCAGGTACTGCTTTGTTTTGCCACCTGCTTAAACTTGCAGCTCCTATTTTATTTGAAATGTACAAAATTCGCACAAAGCACAAATGGGCAGAAACCATTATAAGTATCCTCTCGGTTGGACCGCCCTCAGTGACTGAAGAGTGGCTGCAAACACACAACAAAGCAGAAAAATCACACCTTTCTTTGCTGCCTAGCGCCACAACAGTTAATCAGTGTATCTATTTGAGAAATATTCTCTGTGGCACCGGTGTGCTCGTGTGTTTGGGTGATGCTTGGAGCTAATAGAAGGCTGTCATCGTTCCATCTCTTTTTCAGCCCCCGAGAGAGGGAGGAAATGAGGGTGGCTGGGACACATGCCTGTACCCCGAGTGTTTGTCTAATACATTACGAGTCATGAAAGGCTCTTGGACGCATTCAAGGTTATTTGGTCTCCCCCGTGGTGCTCGGCTTCAATGTATGATGACAGGATTTTGCCACAGAGGGGGTGGTCTGCCTTTCCCATTGGAGCAGAGGCTGGCCTTGGTGGAAAATGGGTCACAAAAGTGCTTATAATAGCATAAGAAATGCAATAGAAAGCAATATTTTCATTCATTTAAACAAATTAAGGAGTTGGAATTGGAAAAGAGAAAGTTAAAAGTTAATAAAAGCATAATAATGGAGCCTTTGTAAGCTAAGATTAAAAAAATAAGAAAAAGAAGTGAACTCTTGTTTTTTGGCCTCCCAGGTTGACTCAAGGAGAAATGCAAATAAAAAAGAGCTATCTGTGTCTGCATGGTCAGATAAGAGCCAGAGGCTATTCATAGCTTGACAGCTTGACTCTTGTTGGTTCCCCACCTGAAGACAACTGACCTTGTTGCACCACACAAGTGTCTTAAGATATTCCTTCCTGATTTTAAGTATTGATAAAAGGGCTCGTGTTTAAGAGAAAGCCATTTCTGTATGCCTGAGTCGCCTTGGGGAGGTTTGTTTTAACTTTATTTTAAGTTGTGCAGCAAATAATTTTATATTTATGGACTGGTCTAGAGGCAGAACTGTATTTTTCAGAAGAATTTAGATCACCAACGTTCAGGTGGAGTCTGGTATCCTTCACTGTGACTGTTCACTGTGACGTGCCATGTTACCACTCCTGCCTAAAGACCTGCTGTAACTCAGCTTCAGGGAGGTCAATTATTAACTAAGACGTCACATTCCTAGTGCTGATTCAGCCGTTCTCTTGATCCCACCCAGACACAGATTTAAAAAAAAAAAAAAAAATCTTTCTAGAAGTTTCCAAAAACTTAATCATCTGCACAAGTAGTTGTCAACCAGCACCATGACTGGAAGTCACAGCAAACTTGACTGCTAGTTTTCTCCTGGTCTTCCCAAGTCCACGGCTTTGAAACAGTTGAAGTACAGTGCAGATAAGGTGGCTGTTAAGAGGGACGGCCCAGTGCTGCCCAGACAAGACTGTTGTGAAAGATTTGAGCTCGGAGAAAGAATGCAATGACAGGCCTGGACCTGAACTTCCGCATTAAGCAGGAAGAAGTTACTCAGAGAGCCAGATACAATCCCCATCAACACACACAAATCTGCCTGTATGCCTGTTTTCTGGGGTTGAGATTTGTTAGAGAATTATTTTGATGTGGAACTGATGTCCATGAAGCGGGTATCTTGAAACTCACTGGTGAAGCAAGGATTAATACATTTGAAAAGGTGAGTTACATCTCTGTTAAGTCGGATGTAGTACCTTCAGTTAACGGTGTACACCCATAGCTGCTTTCCTCTGAGCGTACATGACCGACTGTTCTTTGTTGTTTTTAGCTGATTGTGCCTCTCTTCTCCAGCTTCAACAGTTTGTATTTAACTGGAAGTGTAACACGGACAATGTTTTTTAAGACAGACTGAAAATCTTAGACATTCTGTCAAATTATGTGATTGAAAGCCTCCTCCTTGATACAGACTTTTAAAAGTTGTTAAATTATGTACAAAAATTACATAAAATGGTTAATGTCACCCAAGATATCTTTGTCCTCATATGATAAGGCTTAATTAGGTTACTGTACAGTGATAAGGCAACCATTATTCATAGTTTAATATGTTGAAAAGGATGTTCTTGTCTGCTTTCCAAGTGGGTGGACCCGACGACTCTAATTTCAGTATGCTGTATGACTCAATAACCACATGAAACCGATAGGCTTTGTCTCCTTTTTTAAAGCTAATGGTGCTGTCAGTTGTCCCTGTTGATAGGAACATTTTGTGCATTTGGCTTTTGAGACGAAATTAAATCACAGAAAAATGCACTGAAACCTTATCATTGCAAGCGCCCATTTGGAATAACGGTGCAAAAACCATTTAGCTGACAAGCTATGTTCTTTCTTTGACTGCTGTCAAGCCAGGAAAGGCTGCAATATATGTTTAGACAGACTGTCTAATGCAGTGACTCATGTGCAGAGGGGATATTGTTGTTATAAATAGCATGAAGGATTATTTTTTCCCATGTAAATATAACCTGTTGTTGGAAATTAGTGTCCATGTTTGATTTCTACAAAAGCACAAACTGTCTTCAGCAAATACAGGTATAATCTTTTTTGTATTGTTAAAATGTCAGTTATGACTCCTGGTTTTTATGCCCTGCAGCGTTTTGTTTCTGCTGCCGAGCCTCTAATTTGCCTACTTTGCCATAGAATACATGTAGTTGTGTAAACACATCTGCCTAAGACCCAAATATCGATATTTGATCCGAGTAAGAGAGGGAGTTTCTGTATATTATGGTAAACATGCTGTGCTTCGATACGGCCACTTAGAGTTGTTGTCTGGTTTCCATTTTCTCACCTGAAACCTGAGTTACGTGAGGCTAAACCGTATATTTCACATTATGTAGGGGGGAATAGTTTTCTGGAGGAATGTAGAAGTCACTTGCATGCTATTTGTTTTCTTTTTTTTTTCTTTGCATAACAGAATTACAGTGCTGTGTTTTCACAATGAGTGCTGGTTTGTAACGGCACCAGATTTCATGCCCGAGTGTTTCCAATAATATTTATACATGCTGACAAATCATATTTTCTGAGTGGTTTCTGGAAAGAAAATAGAAATGGTGCAAAGAGGCAGTGACATATGTTGGTATCCAAAGTAATGTGAATATGAATCGTGAATTTACTTTCTTACAGTAAATGCAGTTAATGAAGGGCAATGAAATGATCCCATTATTCTCTTCACCTCACTCTACAGAGGTCAACCTAGATTTGCCACCGGTTTGCAGAAACATGCTCGATTAAAAAAAAATATATGCTCACTTCCGAGCACTTTATGTGTCAGTAGTGCTTCTTTTCAAATAGCGCCACTTTCTCTTCTAATTATGAAGGTTCTTCAGTATTACTGATACAAATCTTTTGCAAACCCTGAGCAAAAGCTAGCTGAGGGGTTGAAAAGAAGACTGATACCACTCTCTCATGTCTGTACACAAAATTAAAGCTTGAGCCAGGAGTAGCTAGCTTAGCTAGCTTAGCTCTGTTCAAAGATTTTTTTAAAAATCAGTCTACCAGCACTTCTAAAGTTCACAAATTAACACTTTATGTCCAAGCAGCAAACTCTGGGTTTCGAAAAGTAAAGCCGATGCAGAAGTGCCTTTAACCTGCATTCTTTCTAATGGCCAGCAGGGGGGCGAATCCATTGGTTGCAGAGCCTTTGGACAGAGGCAGGCTAGCTGTTTCCTTTATGCTATGCTAAGCTAAGTTATTTGCCTCTCTCTCACTGTATGAGAGTCGGGAGCGCTCCATTTAGTGCATTTGGCCTCTAAAAGCAGCTGCCAGGAGTGACTTGACTGGCAGTCATTTTTTACTTGTGTGATTTTAAAAATACACAGTGTTTACGTGTTCTGTGTTGCTTGTTTGTGAGAAAAGGCCTGACGGGGACCAAAATCATACTGTAATTGTTAAAGGGAGATCTGTTTGTATTGCGGTTGTCATAACACCAAATAAAATGTGACGCCACAGGGAGAAAATAATTAAGCAGTGGTAATAATAGAGATTTTTTTTAAATAATGAGACCATGTGCTTTAGTGTTTTATGTCAAGTATTGCATTTCTGTGAACGCAATCGCTTAACACAACATCAGTGTGCAGAATATCACATGAACCACACACCAAACGATAATAATGTTTTCAGTTCATTACAATATGAGATAATGTGAGTTCAGGAACAGTTGCATAAAGTTTGCAGGTGGGTGTTCATGTCACCATTTCCTATATGATTTCAACATGCATGAGGCAGGAAACTTACCCTTACTCTTTACCACTTCCTCCTTGGGCAAACCATTTGTGTAAATGGGTGGAGGAGTGGGCCCACATGCTACGACAGTTAGAAAGACCCACACAAACACATGTCACATATAAATTGTTTCCTAACACTCATAGGAATGGCGTCATTAAGGAAAATACTTTGTGCAAAACCATCACACCCAATGTTTTTATCAAATGCATCTAAGGAATAAGAAGGTCCATAGTTTCTCATAAGCTTCAAACTGTACATGCAAACCGTGTGTTCTGGATCAATGCTGATCCATTTGACATTCAAATCAGAAACGTCATGTCACAGTACTTGTTTCCTCCACAGTGTGAGTAAGGGTTTGCCTCATGTGTCTTATGCCGTTTTTTATTAACTCTGCAAATGTTTTCTTTTTCCTTGACAGATCTTAACATTTACTAAACAGATTCCAAACTGTGCAGTGAGTCATACTTTGTTAGAGATAATATTTTCATATCCAATGTACCATAACAGCAGAAAGAAACTGGAGATTTGGTTCTGTAAACAATTCTTTGAGGGAGAGAAAATCTCATTGGTCGAGTTAAACAAATGAGATTAAGGGGTGGGCAGCGCTTAGAAAACATTTTTTTTCTAGGTTAGTGGCTAAGACTAAAAGGGAAGTCTAAAATAATTGGTTGTGTGTGAAGCCAGAAGTGTGCAGTCATAGCCCATACATTTATTTTACCATAACTTTAACAACACCAAGCCTTTACCCAACCCAGCCATTTCAAATATAAACCAGAGCACAACCATATTCAACATCATATTCAAATAAAAGCATTTAATCATTGCGCAGATTAAGCACAGTCCTTCACAGTACTACAGAAACCACACTACATCATCTGGGTTAGCTGGTGGGCCTTCCTGCTCTTACATTTTCAAGATAACCTAGCTCATAGCTAAACTGTACCAAGATAATAAATGATTAGTCTTGAGTGAACAACAAACAAAAAGCTTTTTTTTTAGTTTCAAACTTTATACAAAATATGTGAATGTGAACTAAGTAGTATCCCCATCTTTGTGTGCCATCATATGTAAAATACTATTAGATTTTGACATAACAAGACTACACTGAGTCTACAGCCATGTTAGCAGCTTTGGGTGGATGTGCACAGCGGTGCTGTGATCTAAATGCTAACATATTCATAATAACAATGTTAACATGCTGATGTTTAGCAAGTAGTGTTCACCATGGTCACCTTAGTTTAGCATGCTAACATTTGGTAATTAGCATAAAACACAAAGTGCAGCTGTGACTTGTCATTACTGTTGCAAGTATTTGGTCATTAACCAAAGTAATTGGAGACATGTAAATTTTGACCTGATTAGAAAAGGTCAGAGGATCGTAGTCATAAGGAAACATCACCTGGAAACAATGTCTGTACAAAATATTGTGCCAATCCAGCAGTATTTTGCTGGCAAATAGTTGACTTAGGAAAGTAAGGAGATCACCAAAGTCAGTAGGATTTAAAATGGTTATGCAAAGTTTCATGGCGATCCATCCAATAGTTGTTATGATATTTCAGTGCGGACCAAAATGTTGGACTGACGTACTGACTGATCATTTATAGCCACAGAACCATAGACAGAAGGTGGAACAAGGGAGCTCTCTTTTAAACACTAGTGAGGGTGGCTTATTGGTTATGAGGCTCCTCCAATAACTCAGAATTGGCTAGCTTTGGTTTATGTCATGGGACTTACGTCACGTGACTTACGTAACATTGTTAAGGTCCGGTACTCCTGACGCTCAGCAGTTACAGCAGCCATACTTTCCGTTGAAATGTCCTAAATCAGAATATTGTACCCTTACTTGCTCATTCACTGTTGCGCATGCAGGACCATCAACGTGCAGGGGAACTGTACAGCAGTTCTGGAGTTAGTGAAGTGAAAACCTCAGCATCACTGTACTGTGACTGAATGAACTCCCACTGACATCTTCCCACTACTGGTCCTGTTCCAGTGTGAGAAAACAGGGCCTTTGTTTTGACTGCACATTCTAGCCCATCATAACATTTACTCTGAGAAATGGGGATTCAAATGATACATGTGTGAGAGACAGCATATTGTACATAATTACACATGGAAATCTCAAGTGAATCTTCAGGAGTTGTTTTCAGGGAAAACACAGCTACCCCAGTCATTCTACAGGCTTTTTTGCTACTTTGGACTGAAACTATGAAGCTTGATGATGCCGACATTTCACGTCATGCATCTGCAACTGGGTTAAACGACATAAATCTGCAGCAGTCAGGCGTGTGACTCTTGAGACTTGATCAGCAATTTATAGCTAACCACAGTAGCAAGCATACTTTATACTGTTAGTGGTTTCTTGGTCATTACTTTGTCAGCATACATACAGTTTGAAATTAATTGTTTTTGTCACAAACGTTGAACATTGTAAATGTGTAATATGAGTGCATGATTCAACACATAATGCTCTTTAATGACATTATAGGGTTGTGGTTACTGATAGTAGAAGTGAGCTGCAGGATGGATTTAAAATAAACTGGAACTTGTGCAAGACTTGTTTAATTCAGTGTTAGTGTAGCATTCAAAAGCAGCATGGTTAGAAGACAACTTGAAGCAATATCACATTCTCTAGTTCACCACAACAAGTTCTGGCAAAACACGAATGCCTAGAAGGTGTGCATGCATACTTTTCTTCCTCCAGTCTGGGTTGGAGATGTTTTAAAAGATATCATGGCCTCAGGGCACAAATGTCAGAGCAACGTAGCAGTACTGTGTCTTACCACTGGCTGTATAACATACATGTGTATTTAACATTTGTTTCACCATGCAGATGGCTTTTAATTCCACATATTCCTCCACTGTCATGACAACCATATCCAATCAATGCTGCGCCCTTTTTTCTTTGAGTGTTTTTCTGTGTCTGACACTTCTGTTGTTCCTTTAAACAGATGGAAGACATTGACGCCATGTTCAGTGACCTGCTGGGGGAGATGGACCTCCTCACTCAGGTGAGCTAAGGCAGCTAGAAGACATAAACAACTATGACAACTATAACTATAATAACTATGAATAGTCTTACAGTTTATTTCACTTCACTGCACATGTTTAGACTTTTACTTCTTCTTATTTATTTATTTGTTAGATATTTCATAACTGCTGACCTGTGCAGGGTGTACCCCACCTTTCGCTTAATGTAACTGGGGGTCACATAATTCTCCCACCTTATACCTTAAATACACATTTCTTCTTTAGAGACAGATGACAAACTCACTTAAACCCACCATCAATCACAGAGACACCCTAGACAGGCAAGCAGGACAGACACAGCGGGGGGAAACACTTTTTGTGGTCATCTAACAACCATAAATTACACTCCCTTTTGGAGGGGAGGTCAAATGGCAAACTCCTAAGCCAGCTAGAGATTACACAACTTTTTCCTTAGTGAAAGGCCCTGCTGATCACTTTGATGTTGCTTTACAGCCCACCACTCATTTTAAATCACTTCCATTTTGCCACGGAGGCTTAGTATTACACATTGATGTGATACCTAAAACATATGGTAATGATACACGTGTAAACATTCTTTCTTACATAATGTTTGGGGACAGTTTATGTTTCACCGCACTCAGTGTGTGTTGTGGATTAACTCGCTGAGCCTCTGGGGGTCTTGTGGCTGTACAGATATTGTACTCATGCTCCTTGTTTGTTCTTCCCTGCAGAGTCTCGATCAGGAAACTGTACCTCCTGCATCTCTCCCCAGCACCCACAAGGAAGTCAACTTCTCCATTGGCTTCACTGACCTGAATGGTGAAATAACATTTTGTCTGTCATGCTTGTGTGTAGAACTACTGCACCAGGACTTGCACTGCAGTTACACAAGTGCAGGATTTATCACACCTTTAATCAATTATCTGGAAAATTGCTTGTATAATCAGTAGTGACGTAAAGAGGTAGAAAAACAGCACTCAGTTGCTCTGCTGTATATCTGGCTACTGTTCAAGAGGTGATTTCAGACGAAGATTGAGGTCACTGTACGGGCTAATTACTCCTGCTCTGGGTTGTAAAACAAGCAGGTTAATGTTGAAGCAAGGTTACAGCATCTGTTGTTATTAGCACTCTACTTTAAGTGTCCTTTTCTCTGTCTTTTTAGCTTGTATGTCATTTAAGTACTCCAGTCTTGTCAGATCAGGTCCACAAATTAACTTACAATTGATCACAGAACAAACAGTGGTGTTTTCTAACAAGACTAAAATTCTACAAGCTAGTAACTTTCAGTGGTGAGTTAAATGCTAATATAAGCTTATTTTTGTTGTTGGTCATCGGTGCTTATTTATACTTTATTTATACTCGTCCCTCCTTTGTTCTCCTGGTTCGTAGCTGTTATGTCTATTTCTGTGTAAGCACACTGAGAACAATATAAAAAACTGATTCAAAGTACTTGTATGTGAACTTCCGACAGTGGTTCTCAAACATTTTCTCATCATTCTTTCCCAATAATGCTGATTCTGATTCTAAAATTATTGGAAAATTGATATTTTGACTGGAGGATGGCACTAGACTAGATGAAAGGTTAAAGGCATCACCAAAGTTATGATTCATCCTGAGGGTTAAATGAATGTCTTTGCCAAATGTCCTAACTATCCATCCAATAGCTGTTGTGACATTTCACAAATATCAATCTCACAGTGGCTCTAGAGGAAAAGTCAGGGGCTCACCAAAGTCAGTAGAATTCATCACCCGGGGACCACAAACGTCTGTACAAAATGTCACGGCAATCCATTCATAACTTTAAAAATAAATAAAGTTTATTGTAAATGTTGCTATTACAGTCTAGACCACCAGTCTAGTGGTTGACCAACAATGGCCACCAACATGGTTGCTTTTAGAGCCATGCTGCTAGTGTGTATACAAATGCAACCTTTATAAAGACATAAGCAAAACAAAAAGGTTAATGAATCATCTAATTCTTCCGGCCAGCCTGCGCTACCAGCCTTTATCCATTATGGAAGACAAAGGACGATGCATGAGGAATAAAATGAAACAAAATTCTTACATTAAGTTGTTAATGCCTTGTTTAATGAAAACACAAATAAGTTATTGCCAAATAAACTGGTTTTCTTCACCAGAGTCCCTCCATGAACTGGAAGACAATGACTTGGATGCACTCATGTCTGATTTGATGGCTGACCTCAATGCGACGGAAGTGAAACTTGCAGCAGAGATAAAAGGTCTAAAGGTGCCATCACCGCCCTCGCCAGACCTGCCGCCACCACCTATGGGCCTGAGCACTTACCCTGCCTCGTCCCTCGCTTCCCCAACACCCCCCACGAGCAGAACAAGCAGCACTGTTAGCACCCCGGCCTCCTCCGCCAGCTCCCCTTTACCACCTCCGCCTTCTCAGTCTACAAAGCCTTCAAAGGTGAGTCAGCCAATGTACAGTTTATAAGATAAGAGTAGCATCTCTGCAAGTACCTCTCTACTGGGAACTGGTCCAAAATACAAGAAGTAAGAGTTTTAAACAAGGCTTGTCAGAGTAATAGAGAGTTGGTTTTGGTTGGTATGGTTTCACAGAACATGACACTTATTGATTTCTGTGTATTGTGAGGTTCTTAAACTGTAATATGCAAAGAGAGACAATAATGTCAACATCTTCATTTTATTGGTGCCATGACTTGGTTGAACATGAGAAAGCACTTCCTGAGCCATGCGTGATAAGACAGTAGTATTACCACAAACACATCACCAGTTCCCAGAATATACATTTCTGGTAAGTTGTTTTTGTCTTTGTGGAACTGGAAAGAGCGGGTTCTCTCTTATGATAGTTGGACAGTGAGATCATGGCAAAGTTGTTTCTGGACGGAGGCATCTGTTACAGTTACGGAGACTCGTGAGGCGGAACAGCCGAGAGTCTGTCTGGAACAGATCAAACACATACAGGAAAGACGTACAGGAAAGAGTAACAGGATCAATACCAAAGGTTGGAAAAGGGGAGGTAAGATGTAGCAGTGGCAGTGGGGGGCAAAGCCAGACGGGAGCTTATTGCTTTAGCAGGACTTGTTACCTCATCCTTCTGAGGTAAAAACACCAGCTGTGCTGAGGCAGAGAATGTGTCATTGTTAGGTAGAGGTGTAAAATTTTATTAAAACTGCACCTGTAGGCAGGATTTTAATGTAAAATCACACCCGATTTATAAGCCAAAGGAAAAAGTATCATAATCCTGCAAACTGAGATCTGGTAGATTAGATGTAATGTCCAAAATTAAATTCTTGAATGGACACAGTTATCAAATTATCTCATTTACCTTGAGCACAATCTTTAAGCAAAATCTCAACATTTTTGGAAACATGGTAGTTTGCTTTTTTGCTGAGTGTTAGATGAGCAACAAATTAGATTAGCTCAGCATAAAAGGCTGGAAACAGGAAGAAACAGCTATCCTGACCCTGCCTACCAGCACCTCCTCACTACTAAAGTGTTTTATCTTGTTCATTTAATCCTTACACAAATTAAAGTGTAAAATTAAAAGTGGTTGTGGTTTTTCTTCACTTCACTGTGACAATTAGACTCAAGAAAGTTGTTTAGCACTCATAGTTTCCCCCTGTTCAGTCTTTATGGTAAGCTAAGTGGCTGTTGGCTGTTCACATTCAACATACAAATGTGACGAGAGAGGTCTCAGAATTGTCTTCAGCACAAATGTAGTACATAATTATATATGGCACGATCATATAATCTATTCTTTACTATAATACAACTGTCTCATTTCATGTTATTATTTGTCCTATTTAGGAGGAAATTGAGGCGCAGATGAAAACAGACAAAATCAAGCTTGCTCTTGAGAAGCTCAAAGAAGCAAAAGTGAAAAAGGTAAGACGAGCAACCACTAAAGTGTACTCCTCTGATCCTCCATCCACTGGCAACAGTAAACTTTAAAGACATAGTGAATTACGGCTACAAGGACATCACTATAGAAGCCGTAATGTTCAAACACACTATGGCTCTTTTCTTTTCTCTTGGAAGAAGCATCAATCACAGTAATTGATGTCCACTTTCATCCAGCCAACATCCTGCAGGACAGCACGGTTTCCTCTTTGGGTGATATGTGGACACTTTCTCATCTTCAAAGAAGTCAACAAAAGCACAGACAGACGTGGTCTTGCATGCACAGCTTCACATCAGGACCTGCAATTTTACACAAAAGCAAACTATATTTTTGTGCCATTTGCATGCCGTATTCCATTTTAGCGATGTGACTGATGATGTGATTGACAAGTTGTGCAACTAATGGCTTGACTGAGGCGTACATGGCATGACTGCATTAATAGACTGTTAAGATAGTAATTATACATTTTAAGAAGTTGTCTAAAAATCTAAAGGGAACCACCGAAAACAGCTTTTCCAAATTGCCATGTGTGTGCAGATATGAGGAAACACAGACCACCAGCCACTTTCACAGAAACATCTGTTGCAGGGTTGTTAGAAGCAGACAAGCAAGGTGCACTCTGAGTGGTTTCAGCCGACCCGCCTGCGGTTTAGGCCATCAAGTTTCAGATAAACCCACTGATTCCAGAGCATGCTTTTGACATGCATCACATATTTTGAAAATACTTTCCTTGCATGAGGAAATACTGTCCAGTGACATTTCATTCAACCACATGCCCATATCGTCTTCCAAAGAAGGTCGAGACCGAGCAACATGTGATCTAAATCCTCTTGCGATAACATCTCTGAAAAACCACATTTTTATGACACAAGGCATGCGACTGGCCGACCTTGGTTCTGTGAAACTCCTCAGCTTCCCAAAAGCTGGATTTGTTTCAGATGAGAGGAAATGTGAAGCCATATGAGCCTGTGAGGAAAGCACTGCTCCGCTCCAGAGCAAAATTAAACTCAGCCAACAACAACAAAAGGAGGTGCTAACACTGCAAAAAGAGACAAATACAATGGAGAAGAAGTGACTAAAATGCTAAAGACGTTCAACAGAATGGAGAGAGAGAAGTGCTGATGCTCCAGCTCTCCTAGTAAAACTAACATTAGGAAACAGAAACAACAATTTACTGTACATACCCTGTAATTATACTGGCAAATAAACAAGCTGCATGTGCTTCAAGGCTTGATTTGACTTCAGAGACACCTGCTACTGTCCACAACATGTTTTTAACTTCAATCTGTCACACAGATGACACAGGAATCCTCATGCTACAACAAAACAGCTAGCCTCGCTCTGTCCAAATAAAAGTTAAAACATACCAGTACCTCTAAGACTCCCTTATTAAAATATTATATCTCATTTGTTTAATTGGTACAAAAACTAAAAAATGACAAGTTGGTTTCACCTTGGTGAGCTAAGCTAACCGGTTGCTAGCTTTAGCTTTATGTTTATGTACAGACATGGGAGCGATATTGATCTTCTCATCAACTGTCAGCAAAAAAACTTTGTAAGTTTGATAAAATACAGCAAAGTAAAATAAAGTATTTTTTTCCCCTAACAGTTGGTGGTGAAAGTGATGTTGAATGACGGCAGCTCCAAGACTCTGATGGTGGATGAGAGGCAGACTGTCAGGGAAGTGCTGGACAACATGTTTGAGAAGACTCACTGTGATGGCAATGTGGACTGGAGCCTATGCGAGACCAACCCAGACCTGCAGCTTGGTGAGTTACTGCAATAAAGCATCTAAAATACTGTACCATGTGGTTGACGCTACACGGTGCTGTGACTGCATCTAAGTAGTACCTTTCATGCAGGTTAGTGCAATTCAAACATTGCATTACATATTACTAACAAACTGATAATAAGCCTAAGGAATATCTATAAGAAATATTTACAGTAAAACGATTTGAACCTATTACACAAAAATGAGAAATGATTAAGGTGAATGATAACTAGGACCAATAGAAGAGATGAAAGACAATTAAATTAAAATATATATGACGACAAAAGACAACACATCCATTTTAAAACAAGATTGTAGTTAAACAAAAAATGACAGGAAAGACTTTAATTAAAATGTGTTCCCTTGTTCGGGTCCTAGTCAGCACTTTGGCAGAAAACTATATCTGATTTTATAATTTTTTGGGGGGGGGAGACCAGAAAGGAGATAATTGCAATAGTCTAGTCTGCTGGATCTAAAAGTGTGCGTTATTCCCTCAGTATTGCTCAGAGTGGTACGTTGTCACACTTTAGTTATGTTTTTGAGATGATAAAAAGCTGATTTAATGACATTCTGCACATCAGAAGTTCAAGGTAAAGATGAGTTTTCTTGCCCGTTGGCCTGTAAGTCCAAGATAATTCAGTTGTGTGGCTAGTTTCTCTCTCTGAGTGGTATCCTGGTTGAGCTGTAAAAAAAAAAAATTGTGACTAATGTCAAAAATGTATCTGCAAACTGCATCAACAGGTTCAGAAGACACAGCCACATAAAGCTGTGTGTTATCAGCATAGTTTTGAGATATGCGGTGTCCTCAACACATATAGATATATATGTCAGTTTTTGAGAACATTGTGACTTATGGGAAATGAAACCCTAACCCTGGCAGCGCTGGCAACAATTACCATTGCCATTATGTGTTCTCAATAGTTGATATAGTGCCATAGTGGTTCAATCTGTGGTCACTTCATCAGAGACGTTGCTGTTTTAAACACCTTGTGACAAGTTAAGTATTTTCAAGGGGGAATAAAAAATCCTTTGGCGCACATTTCCAGCAGCAGTTTGGAATAAATCAAAGAACTTGGTGGCTAGAATAAGCAAACTACTGGTGATACTGCTTTGGTTAATTTAGTGCACAAACAGCGCAGCAGTAGGTGTGAGCTGGGCAGCAAATATATCAACAGAAGCAGAAAAAATGCAGCAGAGGTAATGTAGACTACAACTTTAACATAATACGCCATCAGTGTGTTTTTTTATGAATTGTCACCTAAACACACACACACAATGTGCAGTGTGGGATATTTCATTCAGGTCCAGATAATGGAGAGTGTTTTTTTTGGCAGCCACACTGCAGCGAGCTCACAATGATCCATCCATCTCTTTCTCCCTCCTCCTTTTTTCCTGTGCTCCCTCTACCCCTCTCTGCCTTACATACACATACAGTGTAGACAGGTGGGTTTAATTTGCTGTAACGGACGCTGTCAGTCATCCTCCCTGTCATTCGGAAATAGAAGCCTTATGATCTCAATCCTCTGTCTGAGCCGTCTGCTCTATATTTACTTCAGCTGCTGGACTTCACCGATTACACATTCTCCGGCCGCTCGTTACCACCTATTTTTTCTGTTATAACAACTTCATCAGATTGTAACAGAGATAATTCATACTGTTAAAGAAGCAGTCTTATATATCATGAACAGGGAGTCATTTTGCTCTGTCCTGAAACTGTTTTAATGAGAAAATGGTGGTAAAGTCATTAACCTCTGTGAGAAGTCAATATTATTTTGCTTGAAAATTGTGTTAAAGTAATTTCATATGCAGGTAATTTTAGCCATGAAACACTAAATTAAAGGATAAAACTGGAATTATTCCATATTTTTCCTATTTTAAATAAATTTAATTAGAAGACCAAAACCAAGAATGTGTTTGTCCATTTTGCAAGACCCGACCCTGTCTGTGACTCTAAGCCCAAGCTTATAAGTATTTCCAGCAGCAGTATGTGGGATTGACTCTCATAAAGTAATAATACAGTGATAAAGGAACATGTGAAATTATGAGTCTCATGTTAATAGTTTTTGGACAACAACAGAGGTCTACTGTCATAAGATGTAACATGTTAGTAAGATCACTTAATTGATAATGTCGGTCTTTTCACAGGATTTGTTGACAAAATAGGTGTCATTTACAATTAGGACACTGGGGACTTTCCCTTTTTGAAAGCATTTGTCAAACATGTTCTGAAAAATAGCTTGCAACAAGAATTGTTGACTAACAAATGAAAATGCTTTGTGTAAGGTTTATTTGCACAATGAGAAAACATGCAATGCGATGTAAATATAGTAGATACAAATGTGCATTGTCCAAAAAAGTAACTTAAGCTTATAAAAACAAGCTAATGATTACTGCATTATATTCCATTTATATTTTGAATCACCTGTCACCTGAATTTTGTGTTTCCCTTCATATAAATAAAGACATTTCCACCATAAATTGGTGCAGAAAATGTCTCCAGAATGCAAAAAATTAAGTGTTTAATGCTTACAGTCTTCTGGGTGATGACCCTAGGTCTCCTTTCTAATGCTAACAACTTCTTCCAGTAACTCACAAGCAAAAACCCAAACTAAAAGCAGATTTTTCTAGAGCTGACTTTGTAATACTGCACATCACACAGGCTCTTAAACCCACTGCCTGTACAAAACAAATGAGGAAATGTGTGTTTCCCTTTGGCCAACACAGTTTATTTTTAACTGAATGATAGCCTTTGTTTAAATGTGCCGTCTGACGAAGCCATTTAAATCATGTTATCCCTGCAGCATTTCTTATGTTTAGATAATTTGACTCATAAGCTTAGGGATGGACGCCTTGGTCTTGTGTCATCTCTGACTAACTAGACAGCTTGACAATGGAAACTGAGTTAGTTCCTTTTCAAATGCCTGTGAACACCCACCCCACCCAGAACATGTTACTCTCTAACTGCTATACATTTTTGCCAACCTTTTAATCTTTATCAAGAAAAAGTCAAGGCAAGTCATGCCCAGTAAACGCTCCACGAAGCTCAACAGCAACGCCATCTTCAAACAAATCCTCACTGTTAAATTGACCCATGTGCTCACCATGCACACCACCGAAACGCATGTGGTTAATGCAGTTCAAAGCGATTTTTACTCCTTATAACTCGCTCTAGCAACAAAGTCACACCATCCATTTAATTGTAATAGTCAAACTATGGACTGGAACCCTGGCAGCAATTTATTTAATGCCTACCTCTGCCTCCGCTGGTATCCTGTAATTGAGGACCATGGCTAAACTACAGCCAAATGCCCAGGACATGATGGAGATCTATGGCACTGAGTATGTGGGTGGGCAGCGGGGAGGAGGAGGTGGAAAGTGCCTTTAATGTGTTTTCGAGGTTTAGTGCCATTTAAAGTCATTCCAGCAAATGGGGAGGCTTGTATTTTATGGAGCCCTTCCTTAATTCATCCCACTTGAAATAGACAATCGTACAGCTGTGAAACTGACTTTGAACCAAGCTCAGCTGATGTGATAGAGCATTTGTGTTGACATGTTTTATGGCACAAAGCTTAAAAAACAGAGGGGACATTCAGAAAATAAAGTGAGATTAAAGACTGCGTTTGATCTGGTTTAAATAATTATGTACTGTAGACTCAGTGTGAGAAAGTAAACTGCCATGAGTGTTTGAATGTGCTGAGAAATGATCTTTTATGGCTGATAGAGGAGATATTTGCCGTGTTTACTGCAGAGGTAGAAAGCGAGCAAGTACATTTACTGTAGTGTAGTACTGTACTTGATACTTTACATTGACTTTGTAAGACTTTTTGTAGGACCAATGTTATCATTATCATATCACACTTATTTGAGGTTTTTTTTAATGGTCACATTATACATTTTAAGGCGCAGACCAAATACTTATTTGTGTCCTTTCAGGGATAAGGACTTGCTGACATTTTGAAGGATATTAATCTAGCGTTGACCCCACAGACAGCCACTAGTTCCTTTGCAGATAGACATTTTGCATGATGTGTCAAATCCGCTCAAAACTATATATAGCAGCTGCTAAACTGAAGTATGCTTTCAAGACAAAAAATTCTGAGTCAATACAGATAGATACGTAACAGTATTAAAATGCAGCTTACACATGAACTTATATACAATTCCATACTCTTAATGAAAAGGGTCGTTCTTTTACTTTGATACTTACAAACAGTTTGCTGACAACAACTTCGTACTTTTACGCCAAAAAAACTTTGAGCAGAACTCTTACTTGTACCATTGACATATACATCAGACTAAAAGATTCAGATACTGTGTTTGTCTGTTCAGGAGACCCACATGCTGCCTTGAGGCCCTGTGTCTGTGCTTGTTAGGCTCATTCAGTAATCTATCCATGACTTGTAATGTATTGTAGAGTATTTTTCCACAATGATACTTTTGCTTAAAACCACTATGTGTACAGTATAATTAGAAAGTTTCAGACTTTGGCACCAACTAATGGTCCCAAATTATTGCACGAATGTTCACTAGGATTATTTCATTTTTCTACAAACCAAAACTTGTGCTGTTAGAGTAATTTGAAAGATGCTATTATCACATACAAATTTAATCTGAATACGATATCTGCAGACATCTAAATTAGCTTTTCTTTTGTCAGAACGGACGTTTGAAGACCACGAGAACCTTGTGGAGCCTCTCTTAGCTTGGATGAGGGACAGCGAGAACAAAATCCTCTTTCAAGAGCGGGGGGATAAAAACGAGGTTTTCAAAAACCCACAGGTTGGTCCCCTCATTGTATGCACCTTTTATATATCTCTCTGAACATTATACTGAGTGAATATGTCCAACAATGGGTAGTTCCTTATTCTTGGCCTTGGTTTGTGCAAATTCCACTAGTATCCACATTGTTTCAGCTCAGCGCCATCTGGCAATTTTCACTGTTGAATTGTTGTGTGAATTATGATATGTCTTTTCTCGATGTAGGATGACCTTTTACATTTATGTCCACACTGTAATATATCAGACAAAACAGCTTCAGGCAGTAGACATCAAGATCTTGGCATGTTTATTGATATAATGGAAACCCTTTATAATCTCAGTTTTTAATGGATTTGGTCTGTTGGCAATGAGAAAACAGCCCATTTGGAAAAAATGACGAAATATTCTCGTTTTTAAAGTACTCCATCATGTCTTCCACGTCCCCCAACAAAAGACAGATCTGTTTTAATACAGTATGTCCTGATCAATTCACAGTTTTAACTTTTGACAAGAGCTACAAAAATAGAATTCCCCTTCGGACTTTCTCTCACCGCAGTGAAAAAAAACATAGGCCCAGACTATGATATGAAATCACACTAGCCCAGTCACAAAGGGACAATGAGCAGAATGCGAGGGTTTTTGAAAGCGGATTATGATGAAATGTTTTTAATTTTTTTCTGCTGAGCATGCCTATGTTTTTTCTGATATTTAATGTGTGTAAATTTGACTTTTCTAGATAAATATAGGGTTAGAAGGATTGTAATAGGATGTATTGTTGGATCTCTATAACAATCTAGACCACCTCTATATGAAAAGTTCAATGAGAAAACTTCTGTTATAAATTGGCGCTATATAAATCAAATTTGTTAAAATTCTTAATCTGTAGTTGTTAAATCATTGAGGCAGCATTCAGGTCAAATCACTCACAAAATGAGGATAATCATACATTTCTGAGGACACAGACATTTTAATTATAGGACTAAGAGTCTACAGCCATGCTAGCAGCTCTGTGACTGTACCCATGGGGCACAGCAGCGCCTTCAGCTAAATGCTAAAGTGAGCATGCTAACATGTTCAAAATGATGTCAATTTTAACATCTTTGTGTTGAGCAGGTACAATGTTTACCATGTCCACATCTTACTTTGGTGTGCTAGCATGTTACTACGTACTTAGCATTAAACTAAACAAATCTCATAGTAGATGTTTCACTTGAAATGTCAACCTCATTTGTGGAAAATATCAGATCACCAAAGCCAGTAGGATTCATCCTCTGGGGAACAGGAATGTGTGTACAAAATTTCATGGCAACCGAGGTATTTCAGTCTGGACCAAAGCGGTGGGCCGACTGACCGACCTACAGTCGGACATTGTCATGCCTAGAGCTACAACGCTAGCATGGGTAGAAATTGCCAATATAGTGGCAAATTGTCTTAATCGGACTTGCTGTATTCATTAATGAACTTTATATTTTATACCTGCAGAACTTTTATCTATGGAAGAAAGACAAGAAAGCTCTCAAAGACATAAAAGACAAAGACAAGCAAATATTAATACAGGTAAAAAAGTTTTTTTTTTAACTCCTGCACACAAACCATGACTGAAATAAGTTTTCTCAGTAGGAGCTCCTCTTAGTAACCCCTTTCATCCCTTCTGCGCCTGCAGGAGAACTTCTGCGGGACTTCCATCATTGTGCCTGATCTCGAAGCAGTGCTGTACCTCAAAGAAGACGGCAAGAAGTCCTGGAAACAGCGGCTCTTTCAGTTGAGGGCTTCTGGAATTTATTACGTGCCCAAAGGGAAGACCAAGGTCAGGGGTCAGAAGGGGACATCGTTTTGTGGCAAAGTCCAGACAATAAACACACATTCAGATAACAGATAATACTCAGCTAACAGCTAATCCAGAACACATTCATTTGGGATCAAGCAAGTTGAACTGCAGTAGTGAAAGTATAGATTCACTGGGACTACAAAGTGTGCAGTCTTTCTGCTTTTTGAACCACACTCTTGTTTAATGCAACGCTGACTATACAGCTTTTGCTCCCTGCTGGATACCTACAGTATAGTCTCTTACTGTATATCAAAGATGTCTGTCGTAAACAGGAAAAAAGAAACAAGCCAACAAAGACACTACAGATCAATTTATAATCTAATCCCTTGTTTCTTTTCAGTCGTCCCGTGACCTCGTCTGCTTTGTCCAGTTTGACAATGTAAATGTCTACTATGGCAAAGACTTTAAGAGCAAATACAAGGCCCCAACTGACTTCTGCTTTGTTCTGAAGGTAAGTCTGCTCTAAAGTGTTGTTGTCTCAATAAATATAATTATCTTGAAGGGTCCACACCCTTTCACTGTGGACCTGACAAAAAAGAGAAACTGCAACTTCCCCTAACAGTGATGCTAAAGAAGAACATTTCACAGAAACACTCCCACTGCATGTTTTAATATTTGGCGTTATGAGGCACATATCAGATAGTATACTGCGTGGTGCATGGGTTGGCAATGCAGAATTTTTGCATGGTGGTTTCGAGTGTATGGTCAGCTACACAGTGGCTGGCTTTACTGAAAATGTGAAATGCAATAAATAGTTTAATATGAAGAAGTGAAAAAAGACAGTTTTATCCAATTACACGGAAAGAAGTAGCGAGACACAAAACTAGATAACTTTTTAAGCAGTTCCTCATATTTCTTTAAAATAAATTACTGTAAAATCACCATGTATTTAATTAAGAGTACTTTCAAAGTGAGGATATTAGTAGTGAAGAGAGCTACCTACAGTACAATATAAGAATATAAGACCAAGAAATGCTGAGTGATGTGAAAAAAAGGAAGAATTAGATGGGTTGATGGTCAAACTTAAAGGGATGTGAAAGTCCACTTTCTTTCCTTTCCTCTATCGTGTCTGAGAAATACTAGAATCAGCAGATACCATTAGACTTGGATCAAAGCAAAAAGAGCTTAGAGAAGCAAAGAAACTCAATTACCTCCCAGTGAGAGACAGAGGCCTTAAGGTTTGAGACTATAGGGGGCACCTGGCCGAGGGAAATGGGAAATGATCTGTCAGAGTGGACATATTGGAAGGCTAGCCAGGTGTCACATGGTCTTTGTCGTTGTTTTGGAATTACACAGTAAACTGGGTTAGATGGTGATGAAGATTGTACAAAAATAACCAAAGCTTTTTTCAGCTAGTGTTTAGTAAGGGTGTGTTTTGACATGTTGGTTGGTTGTTGTTTACGGACTGCCAAACACTGCAGCGACTCAAAGACGAAAGCAAAACAGTTTGGCTATTATGTATAGAGAGGAAATGCCTGAGGTGATCACTAATACCATCCTCTTTATGTACAACTGCTATTATGGTGGAAAGTCAAGTTCCTATTCAGGGGGAAACAGTTGACTGTGGGATTAATGTTAGTGCAGTACAGTATGCATTGCACAGCAAATATTTTTGTGATCAGCAAGATCGTGTACACATACTTGCATAAATCCATCAATTAAGACTAAGTGAACATCAAACATCTCCTAGATTACACTGGATTACAGGATGCACACACACAAAATGTAGTTTTCTGGTTTCTACTTTGTCAGTTCAGTTCAGAAGTGCTGACTGAACTATTCAAAACAACAGGAATTGAAAATACAACATCCATTTAACTGGTCTTGCCTGTTAACACTCACTCTGCCCCCTTGTGGGACACTTTTGCACATGTGCAAAAGGATGTGTAAACTGTCTCAAGTAATGTCACTTGATGTTGTAGGAAGTTGTGAGACCACCTAGTCACCTGATGTAAAACACAGAATAATCCAATCAATGAGTTAATTAAGGCTCTCAGTAAATGGATGTTGTCTTTCTCTGAATATACTAATGTACTAACAAAGTAGTATTTGGCAAACAGCTACAAAGGAGGAGGCCACAGCGCCACATGACACCAGAGACTGCTGTTAATGTAATTTGGTCTGTCATTGATCAGCTTATTTAACATTTAGCATGAGCTATACTGAAGGCTGTGTAGGTGCAGAGTAGAAAAATGTCAATGTGAACTGCATGTTTACCTTCAAAGTTTTTATGATGTCTTAGTCTGTATAGCACATTTGAAATCTAGCAAAGTAATGTGTAATTAACTGAAAGTGACCACTCCTTTGCAATTCATGCAGTATGTCAGCAGTATATCAGCTGCAGTTATGATAAGGTAACTAGTAACTGTAGTAGAATACATTTATTTATTTCCTTTTCTGTTACCCTCTGTTAATAACTCAGGTACACTGATCAGACACTATCACCTGTAATGCTTTTGAATTAGCTTCTATGGAGCACAGTACATATGTATCTGTTGTTGTATACTGTACTGTATATCTTGTATTAGCTGAATCTGTTTTAATGTCTTTTATCAACTTGCCTCCTGTCGCTGCCTCTTGGCCAGGTCTTTGGTTGATTTATCTGGTTGAATAAAAAATAAAAAAAGGTAACTAGTAACTTTAGTAGGAAACAAGGTTTTTTACAAAAGACCATTGACAGGAATCTTAATCCACTGTTTATAACCATTTTTTACTAACCTGATACCATTTGGATGTGTCTCCACAGCATCCTCAGATCCAAAAAGAGTCTCAGTACATCAAGTACCTGTGCTGTGATGATGCTTGGACCATGAACCTTTGGGTAACCGGAATACGAATTGCAAAGGTAAATTTAACCAGCTCTGCATTTAATAACAGGAATTAATCTCCAGTTGACCAGAACTCATGGTCTGTGGTGCGTTTCTTGCACTTCCAGTACGGTGTGTCTTTGTATGAAAACTATAAAACAGCCGAGAAGAAGTCTGTTGTTGGCTCTACGTGGACGACCCTCAGCACCCCGTCGACCTCCAAGCCATCGACACCCTCACCCACCATCAAAGGTAGCACAACACACGCAAGTGTTTCACTGATGTGACACAATGCAGGTGTATATTATAGTTAGTACAGACCTTTTGCTTGCGCTGTGTTTGCTCACGGTGTTTCTCCTTCTCTGCTAGCCAAATCAACAAACCAGGCCAATGGTCATGCTCCAAATCCTCAACCAGGACCTGTTTCTAAGGTATAAAACTCTTCATTAGGAGTGAAACTGATGATTACTTTCATTATACGGTATCTCAAAAAAGTGAGTACATGACTCACATTTTTTTAAATATTTGATTATATCTTTTCACGTGACAACACTGAAGAAATGACACAATGCTACAATGTAAAGTAGTGAGTGTACAGCTTGTATAACTGTAAATTTGCTGTCCCCTCAAAATAACACATCACACAGCCATTAATGTCCAAAGCACTGGCAACAAAAGTGAGTACATACCTAAGTGAACACCGCTCAGGGGTGTACTCCCTTTAATGAGATACTGTATATTTATCTGTTCATTATTGTTTAGTCTATAAAATGTTAGAAAATAGTGGAAAAAGCAATAGTTTTGTATTTTGTCAAAAGCAGCAAATGTGATAACACTTTATTATAAGTTGATATGTAACTATGAATTCATAGAAAGATTCCTGGAAAGGATTATAGATTTTGATAGTAAAAATAGGGAAAATAGAGAAACTGCTCAATTGGTACACAACTAAGTTTCTCTAGTCAGCTAAACATGCAAAAATGTGACATTTGTCTATACATACAAGGGAAAAGGGAATAAAATTAAACAATAAAAAAAACTATATTTAACGAATATTTAATTTACAATTTTATAAAGGAAGTTTGGAAAGCAAAAATAGAGCTGCAGCGATTATTCGATTAGTCAATCGATCAGTCTTTTGAGAATCATCTCATCTTTACAGTAATTTTTCAAGTAAATATGCAAAATATTCTTTGTTATCAGCTTCTCAAATGTGAATATTTGCTTTTAAAATGCACAATTTTTCAACATTTTACAGGCTATAAACAATTTACTTTATAAACGATTATTCATTTTATATATATATATATAAAATGAATAATCGTTAGTTGCAGCCTTAGCCTAAACACAACTAAGTGAACTCAAATTGCTGTCTCAGAATTAGTCTCTCTTTTACCTACAATAAGTACTACATTACATACTTTTCCCCCCCAGGAAACCTCCTAGAGACCTACAGACCCATAAAATAAAGCATTACAGCAATTTCTGATATTTGAGAGGCTGGAACCACTGAATGTTTTTGTTTGATTAATTATTTAAAAGGTTGGTACAAGGATTCATTATTGCATTTTCATAAAGTTGGAGGACTCATAAGAGAACGATGACTTTTGACTTTTAGTGCCTTGTATCAGTCAAGCCAAAAGAAAACCCTCCTACATTTCCCATAATGCCACAAATAGAAAATTTTCACTATGGATCCTCCCTGCCTTGGTTAAAACATTGTTAAATGTGTCCACCTCCTGTACATGTTGTGTCAATATGTCATATTCTGTCTTTTCAGGACATTGGAAATATCCCACCTCCACCTCCACCCCCACCACCCACCAAGATCCTTCCTCCGCCACCTGCAGACCCAGCCCTCCATCCTCCGCCTCCACCTCCTTTGGCGGCCAAGGGTTCCTCAAAACCTGGCCTCCCCCAGCGAAACTTGCATACCAATTTCCCTCCACCTCCACCTGTAATGGACAACCTCCCTCCTCCACCGCCGTCTCCACCCATGGACAGTGCCCCACCAGACTTCCTTCCACCCCCTCCTCCTGCCATTGGCTTTGGTTCATTGCCACCTCCTCCACCGCTGGTGAATTCCCTACCACCACCACCACCACTTTGTTCTAGAGGTATGGACCACTCTCTGCCTCCTCCACCACCAGATCCAGAGTTTTTACCACCGCCTCCGCCAATGTTCACAGGGGCTGGAGCCCCCCCTCCGCCTCCACCGCCTCCTCCGCCTCCATCTGCTGCTGCTGCCCCAAGAGCAGCGATGCAGCCTTCTGGCTCAGTGAAGAAGATGCCTCCTGCTCCGCCAAAGAGGACTACACCATCGACGCCTGGAGGAGGAGGTGGTGGTGGTGGTGGTGGAGACTTCATGTCAGAACTAATGCTGGCCATGAACAAGAAGCGTGGGGTTCATTAGCCTGAGCAAAGAATTTGTGGAGTATAAATAAAGTACGAACTGGGCCTGCAGGACAACCAACTTAACCCTTCATCAGCCTCGCTTTGATTTCAGCAAACAGCTTCTTTACACCCACAACAAAACTTAACATCTTCAACACAAAGCTAGCAGAGATCAATACAGATTTCATCTTCCAGAGAACAGATGGCGATCCATCCATCCTTTGTGCTTATCCATTCTCGCATGAATCAAGTGAAAGGTTGATTATACTTAAAATATATATATTAAAAAAAAAATGCTGTCATTGAACTTATACTTAAAGACTGTTTACTAGAATTGTACATATTGTCATGTTTGTATGGAGGGCTATAAATATTATAAAAACACTTTCCCAGTTACTTGGGCATATACTGTACAGTGCCTAATTACTGTGGTTTGCAAATGACTGTTGCCTTAATAAATCCTTAGAATTCCTGGTGGCATAAGAAATGAGAACATCATTTCTTCTTATTGGGTCTTTTTTCTGTCATCATTATACAACCTGCTGCCATTGGTTGTTTAACAACACACAGCATATGACGCATGTCTATCTAAAAGCAACAACCTCCCCGTAAACCAGCTTATAATCAATTGCAGTCCTTGACAATGCTTTACTGGGCCTAGCCTCCATTGTGTTGCTCTGGTGTGTGCATATGGTCCAATGTCTGTATTCACTGTATGTGAACCTAGATCCTAGAGAAGGAAACAGGAAAGTCTACACAGTAGCATCTTCGTATTTATTTTGCTGTCAATATGAAATGACATAATGCTTAAGTATTTAGCTGTCCAGCAGTAAAAACAGAACATTATGAGCAGAATACAATTAGAATTTAATTCTTCTGTAAACTGTACATCTTTTTGTTGGTCACTGTATCCGCACACAGTGGGTAATCTTAGTAGAGAAGAACATCAAACATGACCAATAAATTTTAGACCAAAATGATAAAAACTCATGTTGTTGTTCTTCTTCTTCTTCATTTTATTATTTTATTATCCATGAGTCACTCAAGAAGAACAGCTGACCTTTAACCTCTGAGCCCACAGTGGGGGTCTTGCTGCATAGCTCGCCTCCTCTGCAGTCTCTTGTGTAACAAAGGGAAAGGACAGGATACGGTACAGCAGCTCCACCTAGAGTTAAGAAAGTAAAAGACACCGGATTAAAACCCAATTGAACAACTTTCCACAGAAAGGTAGTGGGTTTGATTTGGAATAAATGTCATTTACTCACCTCAGAAAAATCATTCATCTCAGCTTTCCTTATAGCAGACTCTGCCATCCAGTTCCTTAGCACATATCTAGGATTAACATCTGGAGGACATATTTCACAATCAGTCAGAGATTTTCTTGATAAAAAAACATCATAGTGAATTTCTTGTTATTTGCCATTTTAAAGCACAATGCCTTCACTCAATATGAAAATTTTAAATAGTCAAACACATCACTAATATGTAGGTTTAGTGGCTCACTTTTCATTCTGTGTTGGCGATCCAAATCGCTATCATTTTGTTGTCTGAACAGAGGGAAAACACGTTTAAATACAAACACTACTTTTGATATATCAAAAACAACAACAGACAACATTATGGCAAAACAGAAAAGAAAGACTATAGTACGTGTTTTCAAGCACAACCAAATAACCTCATGAGAACATTTCAGAGTAACTAACTTGGGAATGGTCTCGTATTCCATACGGTATATTTGCTAACCTGTTGAGCCGGAGCAGGTACATGATGAGCCAATCAGAGAAGAGCTTGTGGGACGACAAATCTTCAAGAGCCCACATCTAATATGATAAAAATCATGAAAAGAATGCCGTGAAAAAATCTCTGAATAGATCCAATGGTTCTGAATATTTTTTGCTGTTGCAGCAGCAGCATTTTGCATGTGGGTTACCTGCATACTAACAGATAGATGTATCTTTAGTTATATTTATCACTATTTTTTATTATCATGACTACCCTAAACACCCCAAATAGAAGAAACACATTGTCACTTCTTCGAAAACAAAATCTAAAAACAGGAATGTAACATACTGCCACTTCAGCCCCACCTGTGTGAAATTCCTGTTGTGAAGCTGCCGGGTTGAAACTTCACTGAGCTGCCTGAAGGTCATAGTGAAGTCTGACTGTGTGTCCTCCATCAACTGGAGAGACAAATCTCATTTGTACACAGCAAGTAAACAGACAGTGAGGATAAATTGATTTAGTGGACTGAGATGAAGAATATCCGTCACAGTGAATGTGCAAATCATCGTCCTTGACTCACCCTAAGCAGGAAAGCAATGAGGTATCCATCATACTCCTCTTCACCTAGGAGCCCCAGTTTAGCTTTAAATAGCTGGTGAATCCTGAAATACATAATATATTATTACTACCACTGCTTGGATATGGCATTATGGACAACGTAAAGAAAAGACAAATCATAATTTCACATGGAGCTCACCTCATCTGGTAAATATCAGCATATCCTTTTAAAATAATTTTAGCGCTGAGGAAGGAAAAGAAGACAAGTTAGTCCAAATGTGTGCTGTCTAAGAAAATCTAAAATGTCAAAGGGGTAAAAGAGTAGCAACAGCATCGGCTCAAACATTATTTTATGTTTCTTCTGTTTTTACCACAGTGAAAAATGACCTCTTTATTCAAAAGGTAAAATTGTATAAAGCAGAGGTTTCAAAATGTGAGGCGGGCCTCCCCAGGGGGACTCCAAACTGTTTCAGGGGAGCCTCAGTGAACGGAAGTGCATCACATAGATTAGCCTAAATGTATGTGTTTTGGCTAAATAGAGAGTTCAGATTTACAGTAATTTGGGAGAACTATTAGAGTGAAGTTACAGTATGTCAAACAGCAATATTAGGTATCGTGTCTATGAGATCAAAAAACATGATCATGATCCCATAGGCATCCAGGAATTGAGCGAAACTGAACTAAGAGGAGGGGAGTTTTCCCAAGCTATGTCTGAGGGGAGGCCCACAGTCTCAGACTTTGAAAACCCCTTGTGTAGAAGGTTAACAGAAGTGTTATAAAGTGCACTTTATATTGGTGGCAAACAGAGGTCAATACAAGCTACATATTACTTTAAGTCCCCTTCTTACTCTTTCTGCTGTTGGTTAGAAAGCACAGGACTGAGTGCCATCAAGAGCTTCTCCAGATTGAACAGTCCGACGTTGGCCTGAGCTCCGATGCTGTATCTGCCCTCATCATCAGATGTGTTGGGGACAAAATCTGCAACATTACAGCTTTGTTTGACATTCGACAGGAGCAAGGGTGTTCAGTTATTTCAGTGAAACACAGACATGCATCATCGTACACACTTGGGTTATACGACTCCATGAAGCCAAATGGTCCGAAGTCGATGGTGATAGACAGGAGACTGAAGTTATCTGTGTTGCACACACCTGTTGTGATAGAACGCAGTATATATCAGCAGATGTTGGTACAAACTGTATGATAAAATGTTCAGCCAGAAGAGGTTCTCACCATGTGCAAACCCAAAAGACATCCACTGGGCAATCAGATGTGCCGTTTCATTTACAACTGTGGAATAAAATACCTAGAAAAATGGAAATACAAAAAAATACATGTATGTATGTAAGTATGAAACAAGGAACTTCCGTATAATATAGTGAGTACAGCATTATGTTTCTGGAAAGTAAAAACCCTCCTACAGTATGCCTGGATTAACTAGTTCACTCAGATTAGGCAGTGAACCAGTTTAATTTACATAAACCTGTTCATTATTTTCTATACTAAAGTATACGTATGTATGTACGTGTATTTGGTGAGCAAACGAATAACTGCATTTTTAACTTACCAAATATTTTTCTGGGTCATCGGAACTGATTGACGAAAAATGTTCTTCAATCACAAAGTTCAACAGCTTTCTAAAATCACGACAGGAATAAAATTATGTTACAAGCGGTTGTATGCTAAACGCAATAGGAGGGCACAGAATGAGAAGAAAGCTTGAAAGGACCAACATTATGATCACGTAACCAGACTCACCTCAGCAGATCTATCTCTCCACTTTGAGCCAAAATTTCTAGAGATCCAATCCGAAACCAAGATTTGGCTAACCTCAGAACAACAGCTCCTGGTAAAAAGAAACTTTACTGAACATGTAATGTAATGAAACATTGAATGAAACTTATAACTTGGTTTTAAAGTATTTTTGCATGAACCCCTGCACCTCTCTCTGTCTTCACGTTGCCATTGTAGAATTGATCCCTCAGCACCGGCTCGTCACTTATAATCAGACTGAAACAAAGCCAAGCAGATCAATACCATAAGACACTCAACCAAACAATGAAAAGGTCAGGAGGACATCCTGCGCCTGGTTCATGAATTCAAATTTCTTGAAAAACATTTTCAAGCACAAATTAAGCACCTGTCTTGATTTGCTTTTTTAGTAAGTAGTTGGTCTTAAGACCAAATACTGTTGTACACCAGAAGTATACCTGTTAATACAGATACTGGACTTCTAATGGATTCTTATCTATGTCATGAGAAGAAGAGAAAACAAATTCAACAATTTTCAAGTACTGAATTATTTGGGTTTTGGTAAACACTTTTAAAATATGTTGTTTTTCTCTCTACTGCTGATTTGTCTTGTGTAAGTTAATGCTGTAAGCTATATAGTCTGGCTAACCGTTATATTGCCCAGTTATTATCAATATACATTACAGAAAAAAACTACGCATGTCCTTGAAACCAATATTAAATATAACAAAGATTTTAATTAGTCACATTGCAAATGTTAACTCTGTTTGTTGCCTTTGACTGATCACCTGTCCCTCTTCTCACCTGGCAGCCCTGCTGGTTGGAACACCCAGGTAATGCATGGCTTCACTACACAGGAACTCCCTTACAGAAGAACGGATCACAGCTCGACCATCTCCCGACCTGTACTCAAATTTTCAAATTCATTTACCTTACATTTACATTTATTCATTTAGCTGACACTTTTATCCAAAGCGACTTACAATATATATTTATTTCAGAGGTTGCACGCCTCTGGAACATACTAGGGGTTAAGCGTCTTGCTCAGGGACACATTGGTGTCTCACAGTGGATTCGAACCCAGGTCTCTCACACCAAAAGCATGTGTCTTATCCACTGCTCCATCACCACCCCCTCAAATTCATATTGAAATTTTAGATTAAAGACAGTTGCCTCTTGTTGCCATTTGTTATCACCAACATGCAATGTTGCCAAATGTGGCAAAGTCAAACAGGGAGATTAAATGATTAAAAGGAAAAAAAGGATATGAGAGGAAAATAACCAACCTACCTTGAATAAGGTGTTTTTCCCGAGCCTTTAAGCTGCAGTTCCCATACTTCTCCTTTCCTGTGGTACATTTTACAAGGAAAAAAAGTTAAAGCTTAGGCTGAAGATGCACCTTAAATATCCAGTAGTTTTAATTTACAAGGAACCTAATTAAAAAAAATTCCTCACCTGTTGGTATACTGACCAAGGGAATGTGCTCGACCATCACCCAGCTGACCTGCCCAGAAGCCAAACTAACGGAGAAGCAGAAACTTTAGTGTCACCAACTATGACTAGATCTAGTCTCAGGTGTACATGGGCATTATTATATTATGTTAAATGAAATTTACATACACTTCCATATTTCCTTGACTTTGTTAATCAACTTATTAGTAATTCAATTGATGACATATCTGCTGGGGTTAAACTGTATAGTATGTCAAAAACATAAAATATGATTTGATTAAAGGAACCGGTATAAGGTATAACTATTGACATATGACTGAAACATGGAGCTTGGAACACACCTGTTTTTATAAGAATAAGAAATGTTTTATATCTTTGTTGTAAAACATTTATTTCTGAATAACTTGGTGCAAAACAGTCCAATGTTAACTCTGTTGGTAATCAAAATATGTTGGATGTTTTAAGTTTGCATATACGCAATGCAATCTAGTAAGGCTAAATCAAATAAACTATTTTGTAGGAAACTCTACCTGATGACCCCCATATCTGTGTGCAAGTGGTACAGATCCTGGAAGCAGTCTGCCACCACTCGCATAATGCAGGAACTCCTCAGACTGTGTTACAGCCGTGTCTACATCTAAGATCCCCTCAATGACATCCTGTTGAGACAAGTTGAAAATATAAATGAATATCTCTGTTTTTAAATACACGCTATGTGATGCTGAAGATGAGATCACAACGCCACCTTGGAAACTGCTGCCAGTCTCAACGGGCCTTTCAGTGGGGTTGGAGTGGATTTGGAGAATATGCAGTTCTTCACAGTGCGAACAAAGTTGCCATCAACCTCATCGATTGGGAATGCTTCTGCAGAGGACAGAAGGGCGGTGACAACATTTATTCAGATTAACATAAATATATTCGACCTGTAATGACATCACATCAGAATCAGTTTTACCTATGAGCTTCTTGCAGGACACACTGAATTGGTCCAGGTCCTGTATGAGGTATGAAGCACTCGTGTTCCACCTGGATTTGACAGCGTCTGATAACTTTTTGTCATGACTCTGGCAGCCAGGGTCAGTACTTTGGCAAAACTCCAGGACATATACAGGTGAGAAGCTGGTCGCTGCTACTAGGGCAAAGACTAACACTGTTTGCATACTGCAAGTTTCCACAGACAGAGCAGTTGCCTTAAAAGTACCTGTTCAAACTGTCGTAGCTACAAATAAAATAGGGTAAGCTATGACTTGCAGCATTAATATTACCGTAGTGCAGTAATGTTGTAACGTTACTGTAGTGTAGATGAATAAATAAGTACTTTTAAGTGGCATGTAACAGAAATACACAAGAAAGTACAAACACCTAAAATTAGTACTTAAGTACAGTAATAGTGCTTAAATGTATCTAACCAAGTTATTAGTTACTGTGCACCACTGGAAAGCAAATTATGAATCCTCCCAGGAAAGGCTAATATAGACTTTGAATAAACTTGTCAGTTTTTAAGTAACTTAAGACAATTAATAAACATACAACCAATGACGCCCATCCTAAAATGAAGCTGTAACATTAAACCTCCCTGTGAAAATAAAGAGGTAACATAATTTAGGTTAATTCGTTAATAACCCATAAACATTACATTAGCTGTCAGCTACCTATTACCCAGCAACTAGCCTCGTCCCAAATACGCAACTATATATCTGGAGACTTATAAGACGACACATATTTGTAGCTTCATTTAAACACAAAACAACATCTAACACTGCCCGCCTGATAAACATCAGTTTTTAAGGAATTTAACTTCCTTGTTGAGAAACGTCATTAAGCCACGTCTCGTTGCTGTTTTCCGCTTCCGGTCCTTAACCTGTGCCAGCGAGCACGCTGCTGGGGAACGAACATGGCGGGTCCGTGGTGGAGGCAGTGCCGGAGGTGGAGTACAAAGTGTACGAGCACGGGTTTATTTGAAAGCTTGTGGTGTTTGAAGGCCAGACCCGTGTCCGTCTCCGCGTCCTCTCTGCTGCGGTTATCCTGGAGCTCCGGGCCGAGGAACGAGGTGAGTGTGCGGCTGTTAGGAGGAGTGGGAGTCCTGTCAAACCTGGAAGGTCATACATGCTGCCGAGCTGTCAGCTGCCAACACTGAATGGTGAACTTTTTTAATTCAGTGTCTCTGACATTTTCTACAACTGCTGTTTATCTTAAGCAAGAGCTTCCTGTTTTGTAAGAATCTATGAAGTGATTGGTGGCTTGTTCCAGGAAGTGTTCAGAGCTCACTCAGCTGACAGAAAGGTCAGGACTTGCTCCTTAAATTACAGGGAACTTACACTAAGCCCAGTCCTTTACTTAGCCAGCTGTCCATCTGAATCCACCCTGTGTCTTGTCAAGTCCTCATACACTTAGATATATGGGTCAGTATCACTTTGGTGTCCTGTACATAAGTAATAAATTTGCCATGTTAACATACAAATCACTATGGAAGTGTTGGTTACATTGGGCTAAGTTTTTAATGTTTATAGTCGTCCAAAAGCATTACTTGGCTCTTTAGATTTGCATTAATTAATTTGGCATCGACTCACCTGTGTTACTCCAGATTTCCATAACAAAACAGTACAAATTAGAAACTTCATAATCACATCAGGGCTGTAGCTGGTATTTACAATACCTATAAAATATATTCACACCCCTTGGATGTTTCACCCTTTTTTTTCTTTTATACGTGAAATCATGGTCAATAGAATTTGCAAAGAAAACTCCTTTTAATATCAAAGTGAAAACAGATTATTACAAACTAATGTTAATTGATTAAAAAAAAAAAAAAATATATATATATATAATAAAGAAGATGATTGCATAAATATTGACCTCCTTTTAAAGTGACTGACCTAATTCAACAGAAGTCCAGCTAGTTGATGCCAGCAGTGTCACAATTAGTGAAATGGAGATCACCTGAATTCAGCTGATGTGTGTCAAGTGATTGTAGTATAAAAAAACACCTGTGTCTGGGAGGTCCAGTCTCTGGTTCATCAGTATTCCTACTACAATTGCAACATGAAGGAAAAATAGGAACACTCCAAGAAACTCAGAGAAAAGATCCTTGAAATGTACAAGTCAGGAGATGGCTACAAAAAGATTTCCAACTCACTGGACCAGTGTGTCCCCGAGCAAGACACTTAACCTATTGCACATATTTGTTGTTAATTGTTGTTTTATATTTTGTCAATTTATATATTTATGTACACAATATTCTCTTCCATTGCAACACTAATCTGCACGACACAAACCGGAGTAATGCACATTTAAATAGCTGCCACATTGTTCTTTCTCTGCAAATAGTTGTATATTTTTCTCTATTCTTTTATTATTCTTATTTAACTTGTTTATTCTATATTTATATATTTCTACATTTATTTATGTCAACTGTATGTTTGTCTACGTGTAGCACCTTATCACCAAAGCAAATTCCTCGTATGTGGACTACAAACACTACAATCATTCTGACCTCTAGTTGCTCCAGAGGCATGCGACCTCTGACATGTATAGCAGTTGTAAGTTGCTTCGGATAAAAGGTTCAGCAAAATGTAAATATAATGTAATGTCTGAACTGGTTTATTTTGTTTCATTACAGACAGACTGACTGGCTCTATGTAGAAAGTGTTGCATGTGGCTTGAATAACACACAACGTAACTTTAGGTTAACTTTAGTTAAACTGCCTTGTTTTGAACAAATCCAATCGAGTCTTTACATGTGGATAGAGGGGTATACAATAACCTTATTTGGACACTTAGTGAATCTTTGTAGGTCGAGGAAGCATAAATAAACTACATTTAAATAAGAGACAATGACCTGCTTCAAGAATTTCACAACAATTCATTATTTGTATTTTTCATGTTTTATTATTGCAGGTAACTGTTCAATTGTTACTTCTGTAAATTTTATGTACGAACATGACGGTCTGCATGTTGTTAAAGGATTCTCCGAGATGCATGGAATAACATTCTTGGGGAGAAATGCTAAATCTGATGGCCAAAAAGCACTCTCATTTCTAAAGTCTTATATCTCTCATATGCTTCGATTTTTCAGGGGCAGCCGTCACCTTTACCAACGCAGATAAACCTGAAAACTCTAAGCTTTACCTCATCTTTCACCAGGTGAGTTGTCTTTGGTTGTACAAGGCTTTGCACTATAACCAAACTATTTACTGAAGTATTGTTATAATGGTCACCTTACACTGCCAGGCAGCTGCACCTTAATTAAGCAATTTTGGTTAAACATCAAGCGGTGCAATAACACACATTAAATTGTTGTGGTTACTTTTTTTCTAATGACCCCAGGAAGAGTGGCGGTTGCACTGCTAACAGCTAATGGGATAAAAATAAATTATCAATAAATAATAGCCAATATTAGCCTGTTAAAGGTTATTTTGGCTATATGCCTTTTGAATTTCTGCATATTTTCTTATTTTATGGTATTTAGAATGAGTGCATTGTTTAAGATTTAACTTGTACTTGTGTCATTTGTCTCTCCAGACACAAGTCACAGTTTCTGGATCCCACATTACTGTCTTGCAGTTGCAGAAAGATGCACAGTGATGCGAAGCCAAAGGACCCCTTCGCATTAGCCCAGAAAGATTTAAAAAGTTTATACGATGACATCAGAAAGGTACTTTTCAATACAGAGTGTACTTGCTAGGTGTCTCTACATATGAATTAATGTCCAGCTAACATCAAGCTAGTTAACAATCCATGCAGCCTAAAGACAAGAGGACAACTAAACAAAGCACATTTATAGCTTATCTTGAGTCAGAGTACTATCAGTCTATTTTGTTAAAATTTCTGCTTGGGTTTGAACTTTCAGCTGCAGGGACAGTTCAATAACACAACGAGTAAGCCATCCAAGTGTTGTCATCTCCAAAAGAGTATTTAAGACAGAAATTTTGATATGTAAGACATTTGAATGTCACGTGGTGTTTGACATATCTTGGACACTAGTTGATTTATTGTTGAAATAAAATTCATATATTTTATTACTCGGCCTCACAGGAACTATTTGTATCCAAAGATGAGCTGAAGTATCTTTGTGACTACTACTTTGATGGCAAAGGCAAGGCCATCCGACCAATGATAGTTGTCCTGATGGCCCGGGCACTCAACATCCACAGCAACAGATCTGGGTAAAATTGGACCACTCCACTTTAGACAGTTCAACAAAATACAACGTTTTACTTACTGCTAACCCACAGTGACCTTTGATACAGTTCAGAGTGTTAAGGCACCACACCCTGTGATTAAAATATTATATGAAGCATAATCCAGGGTTTTATTTCATCTCACTTTCTGCAATCTGTTGTCTTTCTTTGTCCTCTGTAGAGATTTGCTCCCAGGGCAGAGGGCCATAGCTATGATCTCAGAAATGATCCACACTGCCAGCCTTGTGCACGACGATGTCATAGATGGATCAGACAAGCGAAGGGGAAAGAGAACAATCAATGAAATGTGGGGTGAAAGAAAGGTAAGCGGAATCAAATCAGCAAAAAAAACACCTCCGTTCTTCCCTTTTCTCCTCACATCATATTTCCATGAATGTCATTCTCCAGGCTATCTTGGCTGGAGACTTCATCCTCTCAGCTGCCTCCATGGCCTTGGCTCGTATCGGTAACAACACAGTGGTAAAGGTGTTGTCTCAGGTGATAGAGGACCTGGTGCGAGGTACAGTAAACTGTTGCCATGTCAGTAATAGTCTTTATGTAAGTTGTACTTAAAGCTGGACTAAACACATTTGCACATTGGAAGCTGTAGTAGGAGCAGGAGCTGTTTAAAATATCTGTCCCTAGAATCGACTTATGTCCATTAACAAACTTTAATGTTGGTCGTGCCTCCAGGTGAGTTCATGCAACTGGGTTCCAAAGAGAACGAGAACGAGAGATTCAAACACTACCTCGAGAAAACCTTTAAGAAGACAGCGAGTCTCATTGCAAACAGTTGTAAAGCAGTATGTACGTTCTGTCTCCCACAAATATCACTGAGTTGGAGAAAAAGCATCGGTTTCCACACTTACTGCTTTTTGTTGACTGTTGCATCTCTTTCATCCAAGGTATCCATCCTGGTAAACTCTGATCCTGATGTTCATGAAATAGCCTACCAGTATGGGAAGAATGTTGGCATCGCATTTCAGGTAATTTCGTATTTTATTTTGCAGATGTGGTTGCTGATCTGTTGTTTAATAGACAGGTGAGACCCAAAGCTCTATTAAAAATGATAATTTTCTTTAGTGGAAGGATGTCTCCATACATTTGGTTTTAATCCTTGACATAATGTTATGTAGAAATAAAGTCTATAGGTTTTTGTAAAATAATACAAGTAAATTTTGTGTCCTGTAGCTGGTGGATGATGTCTTAGACTTCACATCAGGAGCCAATCAGCTGGGGAAGCCTTCGGCTGCAGATCTCAAACTGGGCTTGGCCACGGGCCCGGTCCTGTTTGCTTGTCAACAGGTGGGTGAGACATTGTTGGTCATTTGTGTGTACACGTCTGTTACACACACCATGCGTCACCGCTGTCTGTCTTAACCTCAATTTCTTTCTGCCTTTTCAGTTTCCTGAGCTCCATGCAATGATCATGAGACGCTTTAGCTCCAAAGGAGACGTAGATCGAGCCTGGCAGTACGTCCTTCAGGTATGACCAATCATACATTGTAAATAAAGATTAGCAGGTTTCTCAAATCTCAATTCTGAAATAATGTGTTAAATGTAAGGCCTTGAAAAGTCTCAAAGCTTACTGATACAAGCTTTAACTTAGGGCTGGGCAATAAAACAATCAATAAATTCAAGAAATGTTTAATTCATTTGAATTCCAAATGAATTAGCATTTTTTTTTTTTTATTTATTTTGTTGAAGAAAATGGACTGGAAAAAGATTTTAATTTTAACTCATGCAAGATTTTCAATATGTTGTACCTCAGATTTGTGAAGTGATCCACTGTTTGGCATCAAGTATAAAGTTTCTTCAACTTTCACTCGGGAGCGAAAATCAGCCTTTAAACTCCAAAGAAACAATGATTTGACATTTAACGTGATAATTATCGATATTGTACGATATGAACTTTTTTACAGTGATAACATTTTTGTCCATATCACCCAGCCCTACCTTAACTAGACTTTAAAAATATCTGCTTCCTTTGAGATATTTTTATTGCAAATTAAGGTTTAAGATGCATTAAGGATGATTAAAACCTTAACATATCAGAACCTTACACAAGCTGTGTGTACCTTTAGTTGGTGATGGAGGCGGCTGATTTTAGTTTGTACAGCGCTCTTTGGTTTTGACTGATGCACATTTCCCTGATGAACAGTATAATTCAGTGATAAAACAGCTGAGATTCACAAAATAATCAAACAATGCAATCTGTGAGTAACTGTGAAAGAGAAGCAGAGCTTTGTCGGTACAGAACATAAATGCTTTAAACTTTCCTTTAGGTAGATGGAAGACTAAAACAATGTGACAACGCCTTCTTCTTTGTTCTGTTTCAGAGTGATGGCGTGCAACAGACCAACTACCTGGCCCGGCGCTACTGCCAAGAAGCAATCAGGCAGATCAGCATGCTCAGGCCGTCGGCAGAGAGAGACGCCCTCATCAGGCTCACTGAGATGGTCCTTACCAGAGACAAGTGAACCTTCACTGCCCGGCTTCACTTCAGGCAGCTATCTGTACAAATCAACTCTGCCCCTCTCTCCCTCCCTGCGTCTGCAAGGGCCAGGGTAGGACAAAAACGGTGAGAAGCGGAGGAGTTTGGTTTGGAAGGACCCCTGCTGCTGGTTTTGGTGCCGACTCTGAATTAATATGGCAGCAAGCTAATTCATCACAACACTTAATCAAAACAGAATGCAGGGGTCTCTCTGAAACGATATCTTTTCATGGCGCTCTCAACCTCTTCCAGAAATATACATGTGGGTGAGCTGCTTCATAATGATATACACATGGTTTTTGTGGGGAAGAAATACATTGGATGTCACTAAACTGCATACAGTACTGTAACAACCTCCCATGCCTCAAACTAGTCGACTGTGACTGACAGTTTGTTACATGCCAATCTGTGTGACTCCGAACGCAATGGAGGTGAAACATTGTCTTGGATTTGTGTCATTGTCCTTGGTGATCCGTCCACACCTCAGAGGCCAAACAATCATGTGTCTTGTGAAATGTTGCAAGGTTCCTGCAAAGTGCACTGTAACAACAAAGGCCTTAACATCTACAATGACTCTGTGCTCAATAAACCTATTGATTATAATCCATGCCTTTGCTATTTTTTAATTCCCTCAAAGTGACCACACATGCATGTTGTACATAGAATTGTTTATTATAAAAGACTGTACATCAACTTTTCAATCAACATATTATATGTACAAATGAAGGGCAGACAGAGATATCAGTATTTCTATCTATGAAATTGAGCCAGAATGTTTTTTACTAAAGCAAATGGGCAAAATATCAAGGCATTAGCTGCAGTATCCTTAAATCGCAAATGGTGACCAGTGCATTTAGAAGTCAAAAATTAGGTAATGTTAGATGTAAGTTAACAGAAAAATACAATTATCAAGATGATTTGTAGACCTGAGTGACAGCTAATATTGATTGGTTGGTTTTACTTGAGTTAGAATATGTACACCTGTGTAGCCCAGAGGATTTCATGTTCAGAGCATTCAACATGGTCCTTGAACCTGGAGCAGGTCACTGTTGCTTGGTGAAGGCTGAGGAGGTATTACAGTTGTTTATTGGTCTATATTACATCTGAATTGTCACATGGCAGTGTAGGGCACATGGTTACCAGTCCAATTATCACTGCACGCCACCTGCTGTCTATCGGAGCCATAGTCCAGTATTGCCAATGTTACCAATAGATCCTACAGACTTTGGATTAGTATAAAGTTAACAGTGATGTGACAATTTTAAAATGCTTGGTAGTAATCGAAAAATGGAATGTGATATCTTGCTTCAAATGGATCTAAATGCATGAAAAAGTAAACTCCATTTCAGTTTTTCCCAACGCAAATCAAATGCAAGTCTGCATTTAGAGGGTGAGACCATGGGAAAACCTGAAATTCACTTCAGAGTCTAAAAAGTTCAGTGATTTCAACAGTCATAAAAATTAAAAAGGTGATTACATTTACAACATAATGGAAGCATAATGGCAATAAACTTAAGATTACATTATATCGCTTAAACTTTTACATGCTTTCACGCCAAGACTGATTTTTCAGGAGCAATTGTTTCTTTGAAATACCATATACAGTATTTAATCTTGAAAACTGACAGGCCATCTGCATTATTTTTTTTACGAATGAGCCCTATGGAGTCGTGGAGGGCACCACTAATGAAAACTATCATAATTGACATTCACTGAATTCACATTACATAAACCCACGTGGCTGCAGCTCACATTATATACACAACGGACAGCAGAAACACTTCAACCGAAGGTGTTTAACATGACATTACAATTTTATTTGTTCCATCAACGGATTCCGTTCTGAATCGCAACTTTTTGTCCAGGCAAGATGATGTCCTACAACTGTGTGACCATCGTCTTTGAGTTCAACCGGTGTGAGCATGTGCAGTCCAATTCTTTAGAAACTTTTTTTAAAAACATAATCCATAAATGTCCCCCAACCCGCCCATATAACACCAAAATAAACTAAATAGATATTACTTTTCATTTTATTTGCAATCAGTAAGGGAAAGAACATTCTGTCATATCAAAAGGGGATCATACAGTTATGTCTACGCGTCTCAGGAGTCAAGGTTGCTGTGGTCAGTCGCTCAGTGGATTACGATATGACTGAATAAATAGACTGTACTGTTACTGCGAGGTCCCTTCAGTCGGCGTAGTGCATGATGGACTCTACGTAGTTGCCGGGGAACAGGCCGGTGACGCCGTTGCAGACGCCCTCGAACCAGCCGTCATCGTTCTTCTTGATGACATAAATGATTGCCCCCTCCATGAAAGACAACTCGTCGTCCTTGTCCTTGCTGTAGTCGTAGATGGCCACCACTGGGGGGGGGGGAGAGAAAGGGAGATGTTTGTTCAGGACTAGTGGCGAGTATCCAGAAATTGGTTGCACTCTATTTCTTTTTATGAGCAAACCTTTCTCGTTGTAGATCTTGGGCGCCCAGTGTGGGTCTCCATCAGCGTAGGGGTCGCTGTACTGCACGACGGCCGCATCCTCCTCCTCGTAGTCAACTGGAGGAGGCGGCGGAGGGGGAGGAGACTCGTCAAACATGGGCAAGTCATCTGGAGGCGGAGGGGGAGGCGGAGTGGGAGTATCTGCAACTGGTGAATAGAAACAGGAAGTGAGATTACTAAATTGATTTTCCTTGTGAGGTTCAAAAGGTTAAGGATCACAGGTCAGCATGAGCCTGGTGCTGGAGAGGGCGGCGGCGGTTGAATCATGCAGAATTAATAAGACATGCACAAGAGTGTGTATGGAAGGTATTTGAATATTAAATTCATCAAGCAGGCGACATAACTGTTAGGACTTCCCATGGAGAATTTAATAGGATGACAAACTGTAAAAGCCTCTCAAGTGGTTTGTCCTCTTGATGTGGCTCTTAAACTATTCAGGCACACATATAGGGGGAAAAAAGAGAATTGCCCATGATTTATGAACACTTCAATGATCTTATTACATTCTGAGTCATGCTATTTAGTAGGTTAGAAGTTCGTATGACAGCATCTTTATAGGAATGTAGATAACTTTACCACCACAGAAATCTTAAGTTGCTTTTCGTCAGTGATTAAAGTAACTTAATACTTCCAACAATAATATTTAACCATATAGCAGGTTTTGGACCAGCAGGAGGCAGCAACGAGTCCCATCTTCTCCGGTCCTCTTTTACAGAGACCTTTGGCACTTTTCCCCTTAAACATTATCATTCACCTCAGCTCAACCCTGCAGCGCTACAAGAACATTCAGCATATGAATGCCAAGCTTCAGTCAGCAATAAAACCCCCTGCATGACTCACTAAATCAAAAAATATAAAAAAAACAGTAGGTGGCAGCCTCGACAGTCTCAGTTGCTTGCCTTTCCACTGCACATATTTTAAAAAGAGGGATTATTCCAGCAGCTGTGTATAAACCCCCTACTGCTAGCAAGAAACTAACAAAGCTGTGTTCCATGTAGTTTCATAGCAGAAGAAATAAATCTTGTCTCCAAACACAAGATAAAGCTACTTATAAAGTTATATAAACCAAGACGAGACTCTAATGAGACACATTCTTGGATGGTTCATTGTTGCAAGAGGTTGGTATTAATTGTTCTAAACAGATGGGGGAAGAGGATGAACAAGCACAGTGCATGCCGGGTGTTCTGGAAGTGGCAATAGTTGGCTCAGATAAAGAGAAAAGTATGTCTTAGCCTCTTCACTTACTGCTCTCCTGCATCCTGGCCACAAAGCCAGTCAGAGGTATCTGTGGAGTCAGCTGGGGCATGGGGGGAGGAGGAGGAGCGATAGACACTGAAAGCCAGCAGAGAAAAGACAGAAAGGCAAAAAAAAAAAAAAGAGAAAGCCCATCAGTCACCAAGAATGTACAGACGACAGATAAGAGTGCGCCCCCAATCCCAAGCAAACACCACAGTGACACACACCAAAGACATACACACTGCATGAACTGTGAGCTTGTTTACATCTAATAGGACAGAGTGATGTGCAACAGAGAGAGCTGAAATGCTGGGTCAAATTATTTAACCTGTCGGCTAACAGAAACTTTAAAATGTGAACAATCTCATCTGGAATTTATAAAGAGACAATACTCCTCAGATTATTACATTCAGCTATCTGTAGCTGTAGCGTCTCCACAGATCAGACACTAGCGTTGTAAGGTTGAAAACTTCAGTGACGTTTGTGAGAGTGATGAGATTTCACATGGTATCTGGCGATCACTGAGGTCAGAGGATAAAGTGCAGATTACGTCTGATTTCTGTCAAATGGTTCCCGCTCATGGCTCTGAAAGAAGTGGGGGCCAATGGCCAGAAGGAGGCACTGTTTGCCTTGGATGTTAATCAACCTCAACCCTAGGGAAGCCTGCTGAACCCTCTTCACCCCAGTTGGAGTTATGTACAGAGTACTTTGAATTCTTATTTAACAATTTCCGAATTTTCACTGATCATTTGATCAATTCCAAGTTAGAGACACTTGAAACCTGAACAGTGGAAAAAAACATTATCCACTGGTTCAGTAAATGCACATCTGGGCTGATGATGGAGATGAGGTACTAGAACCCCTGGCATTAACATGCAGTGTGTCTCATGCCTTTTTCCTGAGACACACTGCATGTTAATGCCAGGTGTAAATGCACACAGACCACATTGGAATGCAATCTGAAGGGGGTCTGGCTCCCATTGTGATCTGATCTCAGCCAGGTGTAAATGTAACCCATACAGTGTGACCACATTCTTAGGGGAAAAAATCCTCCCAGCAAGTTGAAAGGTAACCTAACTCTGCTTCTTCCTGCTATCTCAAGCTGCAGACAGAAGCATTAACTAGCAAGTCTTCTCTTAAAAATAAGTGACATCCATCCATAGCAATACTTTGCTCAACCTGTTTGCTGACAAGTCGGCTAGCCCCGCCTTACTAACTTGCATATTATTCTGCGGGCAGAATCACAAACAGAAGAGTTGTAAATGCAAAGACTACATCAGATGTCGTAACCCAGACAACGTATCAAGATACTGATCAATACTAGGTAAAAAAAAAGGGGATTAGAAGATAGGAATCAAACCCATGTGATGTACAGAAAACTGCATTTACCAGGTTAACTTCTGACCATGCTTTTACACGAGGCTAGAAACTTGTACTCTGCGTTGTTAGCAGACATTGATTGTCTGGACTGTATCTGCTTTAGAACCCAAGGACAAGGCAGTCTGCATCAATACTAAAGGCTGAAAAAAAAAAAAGTACTTTCAGACTTAAAAGGGAAAAGTCTGTCAAGAATTGGCAAGTCTGACCTTCAGAAAGCAGTGATTCACTTGCAAATATGAAATATTGGGATATGGCTTCAAAGGTTAGCTTGCTTTATTTTGTGATGGTGCATGAAGTTTTTTGTTTCAATGTTTCTTTAAAGCGGGCTGGGACTGGACAGAAGGGCCTTACTTGAGTTCTGGCCATAGCCAGGAGTGCCTCCATTAATATGAGGCTGCTGTTGTTGTTGTTGTTGTTGTTGCTGCTGCTGCTGCTGCTGCTGCTGCTGTAGTTGTTGTTGCTGCTGCTGTAGTTGTTGCTGCTGCTGCAAGGAGAACTGGGAAGTGACCGACGGCGCCCGGCGGTAGGTGCCCGTGGCCGAAACCATAGAGACAGAGGAGTTGGAGGGGTTGTGCCGCGAAATCTGCCGCGAGATGGTTCCAAACTGGGACATTGGAGCAGGGCCCAGACCAGGCCCAGGGGCCACCACTAGAAGCACCCAGAGACAGGGAAGGATGAGATGAAAGATAGGCAAGACCGAAGAGAGGGGGGGGGGTTAGACAGAGGAGACAGAAGAGGGGGGAGCACCCAAATCATGAATCATCAAGATCGTAAAAGATAATGTGAGCTTTCAAATTCTGATTACAGCCCCACACCTTATGAAAAGACAATCAATAACCAATTAAAGAAAGCAGGTGAGCTAGAGAAGTAACAGAAATTGTTAAATGATAACAATATTACACACATATTTCACAAGGGTTTAAATCCCAATAGGTCATCCGAATAAATCCTGCACCTGAGGGTTCTTTAGAGATGTAGCAAAGGAAAAGAGAAGACAGCAGCAACAGAGCAGCCTGATCCTTCAGGTTTCAATGGAGGTAGCAGTGAAAATAACACTTTTCAAAGGAATGATTATATGTCCGTTTGATCGCAAGGAGAGGGGGAGTTCATGCACACGTGTATCATTACACTGGCTGTCTAAGAATAACTGAATCATCTCTTCGAACAACATTAAATATGCTTAAATATATGAAGATTATAGATGCAGTGTGTGTGTGTGTGTGTGTGTGTGTAAGACAAAAACATAGAGGGAGAGAAAGGGTTAAAGAGTATTTCCTGTTCACATTTCAAGATAACAAGCTGCCTCTCAGGAGAGGCCCTGCTCTCTTATAGGGATGGGTGGAACCAGAGGAAGTAAAGCTTCAGAGGAACACAGGAGCAAACAAACTTCTTCATATTGTCGCCGGCAGAAGTAATTATAGCTGAAAGCGCGCAATGTTCTGAGGATAAAATGTGCATGTTTCAAGTGATCATCTTGCTCGAGATTGCAGTCGATCAGATATAAGCAGCCACTGTACAAACATACACACACACACAAAATAGTTGTTACTAATTAAAAAGCACAGCTCTGACAATAAATCAAAGCCAGTATCAGTCAGTGACTCCAAGTCCATGTAAATTAAAGTTACATTAGGCAAAATTTAATGTTTGCAGCACTCAAATAGATGCTTTAATGTTTTGGAACTTCATTACCCAGAAATCATTATGTGCCATCAGCCGGCTCACCATATATCAGGTATAAATTCATCACCTAATGCACCTGGACTGGGCTATATGTAAATACATAACTTCCTTAGTTCTTAGTAACTACTAGCTAATTTCAATGTAATGATTCACTAAATCAGGTTGCACCATTAAAAATGTCTTCGCTAGCAAGGACTTTGTTAATGTGTAAACCTGTTGCTAATAAACATACGGCATGTATAGCTGTCCAGTCTAAAGAAATAAACTATCATAACAGGAAGTTAGAGCAGTATCAACAGCTGACAACCTTTATTTTTTTATGTATTTATACATGCATACATGGGAAAAAAGTGTTTCAGAGTTAGGAATAGGCCAACTCTAACTATCCAAATATGCTAACCTAATCAACGTTATTTTGTCATTTAGCTAGGCTAATGTTGTTGGCATGGTGTTTTTTTGTTTTGTTGTTAAATGTAATTTCAAATATCTCCAGTTTATACAGATATTTTGATCAAATCAGGTCAGGTATGTTGACAATATAATCTAAACGGGTCATATATTAAGCTAATGTTAGCTTTGTCAGTTGGTTCAGTTAGCTACACTAATATCTGGCAGTTGCTGGGTGTAAAATATTAATCTGTACGAAAGAACTTATTTATGTGGTGCAACCGGTTTTAATTTAGTGATGCGTACATTTCCACGTTATAAACTTACATTATAACTGGGCTACGTTTGATGTTAGCTGGTGCAACCGGCTCCAGATCTGCCTTTATGCAAATAAAATTGCCAAAAGGGATCTTCAGTTATGATTTAAGCTAGAATCTGGTTTTGCCTGATGTAGCTTTACCTAAAATTACTTTTCTGGTAAAAAAAAGTAAAGGAACTCGCATCAAACATACCTGTGCAAAAGAAGTCTCAAACTCAAATATTTGTATGGAAATACTGCTCACATACAGATGGCCAGATGGCTTCACTTTATTCTAGAATTTAGGTTGGTAAAAGTACTGTACTCAGTCAGAGCGGATAGCCAACAGGGTTGGATATTTTTCTAGATATACAGTAGCTTGAGGTAAAATGCAGTTTTAGTCTTAATTTACTAAGCCAGGCCTTAGGTGATATGAGACTTCTTTATTAGCCAATTACAAGAGATCTGTGAAGAATAAGGGAGTACCACCACCACCACTGATGATTGAGAAAAATGTTACTGAATATAATAAAAAGCCAGACATTTTCTCACAAGAGTATGTAACCTGTTGTGTCTTTGAACAGAAGCACATACAGTCTGTTCACACTGCAAGCAAGACAATCATCAAGCCATTTCTTCCAGAGCTGAACATTCGGAGAATCTGGCTGATATGTGGAAGGTGTCAGCTGTCATGAGCCAATAAGATTTCCGTTCCTCTTCATTTCCTAAATAATGTTATGTCATCTAATGAGCCATAGTTCTTCCTAGAAAGTGCAAGTTATGCTAAGAAATTAAGAATATTCAATTAAATTCTTTTCAATCTTGTGTAAATTCAAACACAGCAGAAATAAATATCTCAAATGAAGTTTGAAGAAGAGCTGCATCTATTACTTAAGTTTGAAAGTAAGCATTAACTAACTAGTGGTTTATAGCTCATCAATTTAGAGCAAATTAATGTATGGCCAGCCTAATTTTGTTTGGACAAAACAAGCCCCACCGTGATGACATGATTCCACATAAGAAAATCAGAAGGTCTAGATTACAGTGTGTACAAACAGTCAGACATCCATCCACACGCACAGCACCCTGATTTGTACATCTCCACCATCCGGGCAGCAGAGGAGACAGGAGCTGCCTCTGACGTCGAGGAGTCTCACCTATAGGTGGTGGTGCTGGGGGGCCGAACCCGGCCAGGGGAGGAGCGGGAGGTGGTGGGGGAGGCGGAGGAACTCCCGGGGGAGCGAACATGGGCGGGACTGAAAGGAGTATTTACATTAGTAACCATTTAAAGCAGAGGCAGAACAGAGCCTGGCCTCGCTCGCCTCCTGCACCTCTACACTTTTACATAACATCACATCTCTCTACTCAAGAACCCTTCAGGGCCGGAGGAGCACCTCGACTTTGTCAAGGCGCAGTGCTGCTCCACACACACACACACACACACACACACACTTCTCTGTGGTATGAATTGAGTGTTTCCATAGCGACCAGCTTACAGGGAGAGCTGTGGTTAGTACTGTGCTTCTGGCCCAATCCCGGCGAGGTAAAAACGGCTGCTACATAAACCTGAAGTATTTCTTGTTCAGCTGAAAACATTTGCAAAAGTTAAACACAACAGCATCTAAGGCTTGTGCCTGGTGTAATGCAGTGCTATGTGTAGCTTGTGCGTGGTGTTATGTGGGCCTTACTGTTCCACTATAAAGCAGCAGGCCTAACGCAGCTTGGCCTATTTACACAGTAGGATAGAGAATCAACTGTGCTTAGAACACAATGGGCCTCCATAATCCCCGTCTGGTAAACATAGGCTTTGTGTAGCATAGTGTCACAAACTGCAAATAGCAATAGTCATGTTTACATCATGTCAAGTAATGCCTATTACTGCTATCACATGTATATAATATGTACAGAAATAAACTTGTTTCCTGATGTTTGTTGCTTTGAATTTCTCAATTGGGCAAATTACGCAAATACTTAAATTGGACACAGACGTGTTTACAGTTTAATATATATACACACCAAAGTCAGTCTCAGCATAGGCTGTATTCTCATAATTGCCGGTCAATGTTTAGAGTCTGTGGACTATAAATAGCACATTTTTTTCATACTCAAACATGTTCCTTTAACCAGCGTTGGTACAAAAAACGAACAGAATTGTTAGGTGGGCTAGGAGCACTATAAGGCAGGTTTTACAAAATGCCTGAAGCTAGTTGAGTACAATCCTGCACTCACTTAATAGCAAGGAGAAAGGCTGACAGGCCTGTGTTAACTGTCAGTGCACGATGTGCAGCTAGCAAAGCTCACCTGGTCCAGAGTTGGGGATGGAGGGTGTAGGCACGGCGATGGGAATGCCAGTACCGCTGCTGCCGCTGTTCTCCCTACTGCTGCTACCCCCGCTGCTTCCACTGAGGGAGGAGACAGACAGAAGAGAAAGAGGACATCGTTTTATTCAGGGCAACCTGCTCAGACTGCAGAGCAGGTTAATACTGCAGATAAACGGACGGCGCTGCATATGTGCTATTGTCCTATTTAGAATTCTGAGCCTGCAAAACTTCATAATCGGCCTTTAAAGTACAGCAAGCATCGGACTTTCCACATCTTCTCTCACACTGATTGTTTCTGTCTATTGGCTTGTTAGGAGGGAGCAGCAGAGTGACCCGCCTAGGTGAGTAGGACATGAGTGAAGACTTTTGTTTTGAACCAGTCAGACTAACCGATTAAAATAGAATATAGTCCAGGTTTAAAAGTAATAGTTTTACATAAACCACCTAAAAATATCTTGCTTTAGATTGTCCACAAACTTCCAGTGACTATCATAAGTGCTCTGTGTTTTTAGTCTAATAATAAGTTTTGCTTTTATTTAGCAGCTGACATTAAGAAGGGGTGAATCCAAAACTACAAAACACTTTGTTTGGCAAAGGCTCATATCATGTACAACAATTTATTCAAATGCTGTGGAGTTAGTGAATTAACTACAGGAAACAAAGACATAATGCATGCCGGCTTTATGAGAACAGTGTTCACACAGCCACAGATGCTGCTAATGTAGCCAGTCAATATTAACAGTGCTGATACAATTAACTGATTGAACGTTAGTCAATTTACAAAATAAATGTGATTTTGTCACATGTGAAATGCGCCCATATGTGAAAGTTTCATTGCTGAAATGTGATTGTTTCTGAAATCAATTCATTGCTGAATTGGATGATGGAGAATTCTTTACTTTATATGTTTTTTCTGGTCCTAAAGGCTGCATTACAGTAATGTGATAGTTAATTCACTAATTTTACAGTTCTAGTTAAGAGGCAGGATAAGTAAATAACAAATCACTTTAAACTTGGCCATCATATCCACCTCTCTAATTTACCGCCTCTGAGGATATAGGGCATGGGAGTATAGTATGTATGTCAGCTCTGCAGTGGCCATTATAAGCGTCGTTTCACCCTCTGTTTGACCCCAGGGCTCTTAGATCATTGTCCTGGCCAACTAAATCCCCCCTCTCCAGCTCTCAATCACTCGCTCGGGCCAGCCTTGATCCTCATTTCTGCTCCAACCCCTCACCCCACCCCTTTCTGCCCCTTTCATCCCTGCTTTTCAACTGATACATCTCCCTACCTCTCTCCCCTAACCATCCCTCGAACTCTTTGCCTGTTAAATGATTCCCCATACGTCTCCCTCGCCCCTCACCCCCAGTCCCCTCTTATTTCTTCCATCCCTCTGAACCCCGGCTCGCTCCCACCTCCCCCCACATCTCTTTATCTCCTTTTCCCCATCATCCCCCTTTTCTCCGCTCTGATCTGTGTCAGCTGAGCCCTGGGGCATTTCAGGCACAGACAGCGGGGGTTACCCCTCTGAAGGATGTTGGTGGCAGTGGGAGCTAAGCGTCTGCGGGAATAAAGGCTAAACAATATTGTGAAGTGAACGGCATACTTCACTCCCCCGTCTGCATGTTCTGCATTTATCCATTCTAATCCCTCTATAACTCACCCGTTCCTTCGCTAACCCATTTATCTCTTCCCCAGCTTTTGCTTTGTTTCAACCATAGACTGTATGGCTTCAACTCACTCGCTGTGAAATAAAAGCACTAGGCTCCATTTCTTCTGCTCCACCTTCCTGCCTGCCTCGCTCATTCAGCCTCTACTCAATGCAGAGTTGTTTATAAAGCAACTGTCTGTGACATGCAGCGGGGCTTTATGGTGCTTTTTAGACCAAAAGCGAGGCGAGCGTTTGGGGCGGTGAGTTTACATACAAAGTCAATGCAAAGACGCCTTGAGCCGCAACTTCCTGTCGGGCGGCGCGAAGGAATTCGGGTGAGTCGAATATTTTCAACTCAAGCGAGAAAGTCGCGTGACGCTGAGTCGCGACAACCTATAAGTGTTGCGATTATCCGTACGTCACCGAAGGCTTCAGAGCGATGTGTAGAGAGGGCCAGGGAGAGCGGGGGATTGAAAGTCTGCTGGCCGACGAAGAGCTGCTAAACCTGGAGGAGAGGAGCAGGGAGCAGCGCTCCAACCTTTGGACAAATAAACACCTGTAGTCGGGCTGGATTATGCTCTAACGACGACCCAGTTTACTCGCGGGAGGAGCTCGGAGTAAACTGCTTTTATTAAATTAGTTTTTTACTTAAGTTTTTGGGATTACAACGTTGATTTATCTCCATGGAGCTTCTCAGCAGCTAGCCTCCGTGCACATCCGGTTCCAGTGTTGTTGTTGTCGGCGTCGTTAGCTCTGTCGGACTACGACTTAATATTTATATAAAAACCGGACAAAACTGGACATTACTTGGAGAAAAGAAAGCGTTAAACTACCCGAGTTCAGAAAACATGTGTCTATAACTTTATTCCAGCTATCATTGTACTTTACTCTGACCAAGTTACCATAGCATAGCCCTGATCGATCCAAACTCCATTCAGAAAACAAACATTTAAGAAGTTGTTGTCCTGCTGTCTTGCTGACAGACCTGACAAGGCATGAATTCATATGTTTAACAAATCTGCATCATGTTGTAGTTATTTCGGCATCAGTTTAATCCGTTTATTGCCATTTAATCACAGCAAAATGTTTACTTTGGGTTCATACAGCTGTAGTAATGGCAAGTTGTGCTTATTCACGTTATCGCGTTAGAATCGCCTTCTCGCGTTGTGTGTGAACACTTGCAGCGAGGAAAGTGTCGCGAGGGGAAAATTTGGTTTGAATGCCGCATTAGAGAAGTTCCAGCTCACTTGCTCACAGCTGACCAAAATCCCAGGAGCCAAATGAAGAAAAATACAATGTTCTCAGTGAAGGGAACAAAAACTAAGAACAATATGCAAAAAGTATGTGCTTAAGCATTGTGACATCATAGGATATGACATAAGCAAGATCATTGACCTGCAGCACAGAGAGCCCCTGCACACCCACCGTTTTAGATTCTGCATGCGCAAGTTTCAACTGAAAATAGCGGTACAGGAAACGGTAAAATACGAGTGAAAAAAGACCAAACAAAAACAACGCATCTATCTGTGTGTGTGTGTGTGTGTGTGTGGGCATACATCTTTTATAAGTAGCCCAGAGCATAATCTAAAAGATGAAAAAGAGTGAAAGTTCCTTGCTTACAAAGACTGACAATAGTTACTGAGGCTTTAGATGTGCATAAGTAAGAGACCCGGATTCAATTCCCCACTGTGACACATCCACCAATGTGTCTCTGAGCAAGACTCATAGTTGCTATAGCAAATGTAAGTCACTTTGGATAAAAGCTAAATGAATAAATGTAAATGTAATAAATGACCTAAAGCGCTTTAACATGGGGGGGGGGGGGGGGGGGTGCGCTTCTTGAAGATTTGGCATAAGATAAGTTACGCCAAGATACAAGATAAATTACGCCTAATTCAACTATATTGCAAAATATTTTAAGACCACTTGTAAATTAACATTCAGCCATCTTGCAAGAACAAATGCACTGAGCCTGCAGATGTTATATAGGATGGTTCACAATTATGGTTAAAATGATTAAAAAGTATTGGTGGCATCACTCCAGCAAATGACGTAGGCGTGTTTGCCGGTTCAAGGTTTTAGATATTTAAAACTTATTTAAAACCTTAGCCCCTAATTACTTTGCAATTTGGTTTAAAATGGACAAAAGTGGAAGGATAGTAGTTGTAGCTGGCACAATTCTGAAAAAGTGGGAAAGGCACATTGGATTATCTGGATTTATTGCATTTTGAACCATCTTAAATGCAGCCTTTTAATGTGGATACTAGTAGTCAGGATACTATGGTGACTGTAATAAGCACGTTTTCTTAAAACGATACCTCAATAGGACAGTATAATCTTTCCCGCAGAAAGATATTAGATAATAACAGGGAACACACAGCAGGAACATGCAGACGCCTATATTAAATTTAGACCTCAGTTAAGGATGGCAGAGACGGATGAGCTGAATAAGCACAGCCTACTTCAAGCCTCTGTAATCAAATAGTGATGCCACAGCAAAAGTAGCTGAAGCAGGGCGGGTACAGCTCCACTCTGAGGACAGCGTCAGTTTGGTAAAGCGACATTAGGGTGGCTTTAAACCACAGATCGGTAACAGTGATGCTGAGCAGCCAAAAGATCTGCACATTTGCAATGTTGTTGCTCCGCAGCCCTTAAGCATCTGAAGCCACTAATTACAACAAGACATGGAGTTTGGTTTTAATTGTTAAAGTAGAAGAAACTCTGGGGAAGTTCTGTGTGAATGAGCAGCTTTGTGCAAACATACACGAGAAGTTGGGCGAGGGTAGGGAGAATTAAAAGTGATGTAATATTTACGAGCATCACAGTCAGCATAACAGGCTTTTTAGCTAATGAGGTGACTTCTTTCACTCGTAACTCAAATTTGAACACTCCTTGGGAGCCATGTTCAAGGGTTTCTGTGCTGCAGTTGACTTAGTTTTTTTTTTTTTTTTTTTTTTGAAACGCACTCTATATCATAGGCTTTCACAGATATTAATATCAGAGTGATTCAGGCCGCGGTAAGAAACCCTCCAGGCCTTGTCAAACAAATGCTGGATTTAGTGTAGCGGAGAGGAAGAAGAGGTGCGAAAGTGCTCTAAACTGCTCAACTAAATGAAGAGATTAGAACCACCTGGCATGGAGGAGACATTACTGAAACACTGAGTGCACATTTAGGCCCCATCCACACTACTGCGTTTTTGAACTAAAACGGAGACCTTTTGCTACGTTTGCACCTCCCGTCCAAACTACAACGGCAAAGCGAAGACCTAAAACAGAGAAGTTTGGAAACGCTGCCGACCCCGTTTTGCGTTTCAAAACTCCGGAGGGCGTTTTAGTGAAGACGGGCCAAAACGGAGGACTTTACAAACGATGACGCAGCCGCTCACGCTCGGCACTCTGATTGGGTCTTGCATAGCAGAAACACAAAGCTGCTGACCGGGTTTTTGACATCATATTTTTATTAAAATATTCTGTACCGTGCAAATAACACTCATCTGCCTACACTTGTACCGTGCATGTCACCGTTTACTTTGCAACAACTCCCAGTCTGTTTTCTGCCGCCACACTCCCGTGTTACATTCAGTAACAGTCCCAGCTTGTTACTGATTCATGCAACAACAAAACAAAAAACTGGTCTGATGCTTAGTGTGCATTTATTTATTCTTTCACCAAATCTTCTGTAACTATGGAATTGACCATCTGCTTCATGTTTACACTGGCACGCGCATGCCGAGTGCACCTGAATGGGTCCTAGCTGTGCGTTTTCAGTCGTTTTAATGTAGATGGAGATCAACTCCAAAATGCAGCGGAAACGCTGGTGTGGACGGAGAGCGCATTCGTTTTAATTCTCCGTTTGTAAACTAAAACGGAATAGTGTGGATGGGAGAGAGAGGTGGGACAAGCCGAGGTGTTGGTGTGTATGGGTGTGTCAGAGAGTGGGGAGAAGAGAAGCTGCAAAGCATTAAAGTTTAATTTGCTTTAAACTATTTAACCTAGTACTCTTAAAGTTTCTTCATGAAACTGTTTATATGCATACACATCAAGTCCTCATTGGTGTATCATGATTCTGTATAAGTCATGATGTCCCAGTGTGCCTGACGCCACAAGGAAATCTCTCTGCGTCTTCATTAGTGTCTTCTTGTACGTAATTATTTTCATCAATTTATTGGCAATTTTTCGGAAGAATCGATTAATCATTTAGTCTATGAAATGTTTGATGTAATCTACTGCTGTCTTCAAAGTTCACAAGGATGGCACCTTGTAATTGTTCGTTTGTCTCAAGCAACAGTCCAAAAGATATTTAATTTACAACGATACAAAACAGTAAAAAGCAGTTAATCACCACATTTGAGAAGCTCAAACCTGATAAATATGAATCAACTGTCAAAATAGTCGATATCAGAACTGAGCATGTGTATCTGTATATCAGCTTGAGCATGTGTGACAGACTGTCAGGCCTCCTCGTTTTTTTATCTACCTGTGTGTGCGCTGCCTCTGGTTGAGCGACGCAGTGCGTCCGGGGCTGTGCTGCTGCCCGTGCAGGCTGCCGAGTCGGGCGGGGCTGGTCATGTAGTCATTGGGCACCGTGGGCGGCTTCACCGGCTCCAGGGTCTTGTAGGATGTGTTGCGTCTGCAGCAAAATGAGAAGAAACGAAAGGCAAATAATGATGAATGTCATAATTCAGTGCAAATCCTACTATCAAAACTGCAAGACAGTTTTCACTGGAGTGTTGTTAATCCTATCAGTTTTCCCAGCTGGGTGCTAAAGGCTGGAAGTTTACCCTTGGAATTAATATCTGATTAGTGTCGCTGACTGCTGGTGTGCATCAGAGGACGACTTGCATCATCAGGGCATGACACCTGTCTGACACTAACAGATAAAGTTCGGGCAAGCTCCCAGACCTCTCTTTTTTTCTTTCCTCTGGCTTCACTTACACATTTAAAATGACAAAAGTAATGTATATGAGCCAAAACCACAAAACGCAGCCATCACGACCACACTTGATTTAAAAATGTATGTCATGGGGCATCTTGTTAGCTGTTTATTCTACTATATTACTGTGTTATTTCATGTTACTCTTCATGTCACATTTATTCATTAAAAAAGCAAAAATGCCCCCAAAAAGAGACAAAAAAAAGAAGTGTTCTTTAACTGCATGTTCTTTAATCACCCCTGAAAGAGTTCTGTTTTGTTCATTCGTTTGATAATTAGAGGATTAGTCTTCCCTTCATGGTTTCTAAAATGGAAATCATACCCGATCGTGCCACGCCCTGACATGGGAGGGCTCGGCGGCTTCTGCGTGGGCGGATTGGTCCTCGATAGTGTTCCTCCTCTGATTGACTGATTGTTTCCATGTTGCTGTGGTCGGAAGAAAAAAAAAACCAATGACTTTTATTTAACAAACAAATGACTGCGGGCGCTGTGAGTGATTACTACTTGTGTGACAAAAATCCTAATCTATAGGCTTCCCAGATGAAGACTCAACAGCATAGATGTATACATTTCAGCTGGTGATATTTGAAGGGGTTATGTAACCCAGCATGTGTTTAACTCAGGCACAGGGTGTTTGCTGCTGATTGCAGGTTTGAAATCTCTGTGTTGTTTCAGCTAGTCTTCTTACAAAACACACGTCTTAACAAACATGTAACTTCCAAAAAGCTAAATAACTAAAGCTCAGAATTTAGCAACATCTGGATTTGCAGCATTGCAAATTTCACATACTTAACGATACATAGTATATGCTTTCTCTGGGAAGCCTATAAGGATTTATGGACAACTACATGACATGTAAAGTAAATGACAACAGATTTGGTAAACTGACAGGGAGGGTGTTACAGAGCCTCAGACTGTGTGTGCTGGGCTAAGAGGACTATATTACAAGTTGGTTAATGGGAATAACATGGGAGATTACAACATAAACCACATCTATAGGAGTTTGCTGTAAAAGGGAGTTGGACGACTCTACCAATAATGCATTATAGTAAAATAGGTCATGTGACAAACCAGACTTACCTTGGCTTTTAGCCACTTATGTGGGTGGAGGATTAAAAAAAAACAGAAGAGAGAGAAAGAAGGCATGTCAAAATAGCCATGTCTAAACGAATCAGTAGAAGTCAAAGTACAAGCGAGCAGGAGAAAAATGATTCCTTGCTGTATTTACACAGAGCAAACATTTAGTAAGACCTGGGTAGGTCGGCAGTTACAAGTCATAGTACCAGAAAAAAACACTGTGGCTGGTGCTGTCTCTACTTAGACCTACAGCACCACACCCAGTACAGTCAGAGTGGAAGGAAATCCCAGGGATCTAATGGCACAGCTATTGTGCACACGTGAAAAAAGTTGTATCTTAACAGGGTGTTAAAAGGTCCCATATGATGTAAATTATGTTTTCAATTCTTTTCAATATAAATGAGTCCCCAGTGTGTCTAAAGACCCTTAAACTATGAGGAAAAATGAGCATAATACCTGAAAATGTATCTTTGTACGTCAAAAACTGCATGGCAATGATACAAACGACCTCTGTACTTGTGTGGCCCAATATCAAAGAAAATATGAAGCCAAAATAGCAGTGGGGTTGGACAACTACAGAGTCAAGTGGCTCATCTATAATGCAGCTTCCCCAGTGGCCTTTGCAGAAAGCATTGTAGCATCACAAAACCACAAGGCCACCAGGAGAGAAAATGAAACCAACAGCAAATTCATGGTTTAGGTCAGTATGAAGTGATGTCTGCCTCTTTTAAAACAGCAAACACGTTCAGTGCAGCTGTGAATGGTAAATTTCACTCTCCCGGGTTATCAGAGCTAGACGAGATTCAATTTACAATCTAGGTCATGCTAGAAATGCCAAGGCCTACCACTGCCTTCCCTTATCTTTATGGCCAATGCTGTATCTCTGTGTTGCGGCACAAACCAGAGAGTCAGCGTGGAAATGCTTTAGTAACATCAAAGTTAAATTATGAACAGACAGGTTCAGATTAAGGTCACTATCAAGCCAAAAAAAAGGCTTAGCATGTCGAGCCTGGGTGAAAATCTAGAGCAATGCAGTGTCTCAAAACTGGGCGAGTCTGTCAGGTCAGTTAGCGCCGATAGCAGTTAGTGCTAAAATGCATCTACACTGAACAAAATTATAAGCGCCACACTTTTGTTTTTGCCCCCATTCATCATGAGCTGAACTCATGTGTTGCACTGCGTGAGGCAAATGATGGTCACACTAGATACTGACACTGACCCCCCCCCCCGTTAAGCGTCTTGCTGGTGGATGTGTCCCAGTGGGGAGTTGAACCTGGGTCTCTCACACCGAAGGCATGCATCCACTGCCCCACCACCACCCTGCTTATTATTGATATGACGCTGCTGCGTTCAGAAGAATCTGATCATCTACTACATTCATTTCACCTTCTTTTTTCTTTTTGTCTCTCCTTTGGATTGGAGAACCTCTACTATTCAATAATGTATATAAACGCTACATGATGTTTCTTCTCTGTATTTCATCTCATGCCTTGGTGTTTAATAATACAAACGCTGTGTGAGTCCGTAAAACCAATTCAACATTTAGGCCAGTGCAAACACTCAGGCAGATGTAGTGAGTTTCAGATTTAACTGGAGGCAATATACATGATTTAAACTCCTATTAAAGTATTGATTTTGGTCTGTAAGTAAACCATGGCTATAGATATTCTATACGAGCCTGGCATTTGACAGCAGCCATCAGGGGATACAATATGAATTAATATGGAGTATTGATGTCGAGTATTGATTGGCTCCTTTGGCTGTGACATGCATAGATGAGATGATGCGAGTGATGTAGGAGCGCATGTACAGGTGTATGTGTGTTCCCCATTGGATTCACTTACTAAATGCAACATTGATATAGACATTTAAAAAGAGAAAATCCACTGAGATTAGGCCCAGAGTAATACGTAATGTTCTTAAAATAGATGCACTCTCAAAGCAGCAATGAAGCACGACGGTTTTAGTCATTTGACGCTATTGTGCAATCATGTCATGCTATCCTAATTTTGAGCAACTCTTCGATTTAATCTTACACAGCAGAGTCAGAACCGTGGATGATTCACATTAGACCTCACTGTGACTTTGCTTGCTTTCTTCCCTGTGATTATAGAAAATGTATTGTAATTTTAAAAAGTATGAATATTACTTTGCACATTTGGTTTTTGACCTTGGAAACAGCAGTCGACAAACCAATTTAACCTCAAAGTCAACTTACTAACTGTTCGGGAGCTTTTAATCATATCACATGATCTTCATCAGTACATGGGGTTTGCCCTTTTGTTATGAAATTGTAGATTTCCTTTTTTTTTTTTAGAAAATAAAAGAACATTTGAACATCCACAATATCATGACAACTGCTGATGAAGCAGATCAGAGGTTCCAGAGTAGCTGCTATTTATTGTCTTTACAACAATATGATCTGTTGATTTAATGAATGTGCCCACATTCAGGTCTCTATAAATTCTGGTTAAAACACTACTACTTTTCAAAATGTGCACCCTCAGTGACATCTAATTATCTAAGTGAATCTAAAAACTTAAGCTGTAATATTAAATTGATATGCAGAAATACCATTCGGAAATACTATCTTATGATAAAAACAATAGTTACTTTGTGAAATACTCGTATTCACTTTCTTGCTGGGAGTTATAGGTCTGTACAAAATGTTCAGAAGACTTGGTGAAAACTTGGTCCCGGTCTTGAGAAACACACCCAAATAAAAAAGGCTTCACTCCCCATTAGCCATCACAACCTTCCACCATGACGGAGAAGTCCAGTGTAATTCCCTGCATAGTAAATTGAGAGTGACACAATGGCTTTTATCCTATCTTATCAATGCCTCCAACACTACAGGACGATAATGGCGGGCCTCTAATCCAATCTGTCTGACAGCTGCAATGGATTGGCTGATTGATGGGTCGGGGGGGTGGAGATCGCAAAAATGCCTGCGGCCATCAGGAAATGCCGTCATTACCACCACTGTATGGATCATCAGTGTTTCTACTTTGACTGTACTGATGTTACAATTAGATTACTAGTTTATTTTCACAACATCATTACTCTGCAAAGGTTTACAGAAACTGGAGAACGAGATTAGGCGGGCGGTAGGGGCTTAAGTGCCTTTAAAAACGGCTCACAAATGTGTCTCCGCTCGCCATTTCCACAACGCACCATGAATAGAGCTGTTTTCTGAAAGCTGAATGATGTAATCTTTTTTAGTTCATCTCCACCCCCAACCCGTTCCCACCAACCCACGCTGAAACATATTCCTGTAGGGTCACAAGGGGTGCTTTCTGAAGATGAAAGAGAAAGCACAAGAGACGGAGCGAGAAAACGAGTCAAAGTGGGAGAAAGAAGAGAAGGAGGGAGAAAGGAATACCTCTGGCAAGAAGGGGGGGGGGGGAGATTTGATATAGTAGAACAAGAAAGTTGAGGAACAGAACCAGAGATAAACTAATGGACTGAGTGTAGAGAAATCTCATTGGGGAACAGTTATAAAGCAGAGAAAAATACACACACAATAAAAAAAAAAAAAGCACAACAAAAAAAAGTCTGCTTACCTTAACGCCATGGCCGACGTCGTCCAGTACAGTGTAGTCAATGGGCTTCCTGATGTACCTGACTGGCCGCTCCACATTAGCTGGCGCTATGATCTTATGTGTCCTGGATGTGTTCTTGTTGGTGGTCAGGATCCCGATCTCCCGCCTGGCAACCTTCTCTTTATGGATGTCCACCGTCTGTAAATGACAGAGGGGATGTGATTGATGCCACAGTGGAAACACAGAGACACGCAGTTCAACAGGGAGCTCTGGGATTGAATGAGCTTGTCATACAGCAGCTTGAGAAGGTTTAATTAAATCATGAGGCTTTGCTTTTCATCAACGAGGTCCATAATCTTTTTACAACAGCCTGTGCACATTATTAAAATCGACTGCGGCAGAAACGAGGTCCCGAACCAAATAATGACCGAAGCATGTTATATGAACATTGCTGACTTTGATAATTGATGGGAATGAGTTTACTGGCCCTGAATCCAGATGTAACTAATTAATTTAATTCTTAAGGTCAAAACACACAAAAACGTGAAAATGTAAAATCAAAAATTGATTGTTTAGAATTGAAAGTGAAGAAATGTAACCGAAGTGATGCAATTGAAAGAACACATTTCAATTATACACAAGTCTATTGTGTATTTAAATCATATTCTCACAGATCTATTAGCAGAAAAACATCTCTTTCATCTCCCTTTTGCAAAATGCTAGGGCCAAATTGTGATGCATTATTCATGCTCCTGGAGACAAAGACCGTTTTCCTGCTGAAACTGGACCAATGTTCGATTAATTACCCAGTCCCTTTTATCAAAGCGAATTACTTTAAAGATGCATTAGGAAACCTTGGCTCCAAATGACTAAAATAACTTATTGGAAACCTGAACTCTGAAATCATGCTACCTTTTTTTAATACCCTGCAGGAATATGAATGAGACAGTGGATCTTAAGTTTCTGAATCTGGATTTCTCAAAGTTTCATGTAGCACCTGATTTGGGCAAATTGTTCAATAGATGTTAAACAAACTTGAGTGTATTTGTCACTGGCCCTGTGGTAAGTGTATTATTCCACAAAATATTACCTAGTGCAGCTTTAATCACTAGACAGCCAAGGCAAGAGGGGGATGCCCTGGAGTAGATCCTCTTTGTTACCATTACTTGAATTTCCAAACAATCTCTGGCTGCAACTATCTATAACCTAACTTATACTGAATTTTAATGTCCCTTAGATTTGTTTGTTTTTCTAAAATTGTGACCAAGCTACATACTGAGTGGGACATTTTACAGTGTAAAATCAGTCAGTGTTTTCTAGTGGACGAACTACATAATGGTGAGATCCTAAATGACCTCAAACCTAGTTTAGCATTTCTGTACTTTCTTGTTATTCATCAGCCAACATATCGATACCAATATATCTGCAACAAGCTAACACCAGTCAATATATTGGCCTGACTATCACTCTAGCTTTACAACTAACAATTACTTTCATTAAGGATTGATCAGATTTTTTCCCCCCCTCAATAAATTGTTAAATCATTTGGTCTGTAAAATGTCAGAAAATTGTGAAATATTCCCATCACAATTTCCTGAAGCCCAAGGGGATGTCTTTAAATCGCTTGCTATGGCTGACCAACAATCCCACACCCAGAGATATTCAATTCACAACTAATAAAAGCAGCAAATCCTCACATCTGAGGAGCTTGAACCAAATGTTTGAAATATTTCTTTGATAAACGATCATCAAAATGGTTGACAATTCAACTTCAATCAAATCTTCAACACATCTCAGCACCATCACACAGCACTGCATTTCCACAAGCAGCTGCCCTTCACTGAGAGATGAAAGGCCGCAATGTCTGCTGAGGGCAGACCAGTAAAACGATGGTCTCTCACAGGGGGGGAAGGAGTCAGCGACCAGCGCCAACAGAGGATTCCTTTCATGCCACGGGGATCTGGAGCTGGACTGAGCTCTGAATCTTTATACTGCACTGTACCACGGCCTTAAAGTATCACTTTAGTGGAGGGCAATCAGCAACACTTAAATGTAGTGCAGTACAGTTATGTGCTGTCAAGCTCACATCTCTGGACAAAATCCAGCCTAATTTTAAACTGTGACATTAATGAGATATAGGCACGAGAGCTGACAAGCGCTAGTATCTATAAAAAAATAAAAAAATAAAACATATGCAAAGCAGATTTTACTTCTTACAAGACGTGCAAGGGTGTAAGAAAGTGGATTGTTCAAAATTACAGAAAAAAGAGGAATCAATATTTTATAACAAGCAAAGTTGCTCAAACATAATTGCTCCCACAGAGACTTCCCATACAAAAGGGGAAACATCCGTTCTGTTCCAATGCGCCCTGTTGTGTTTTTGTGAATAAAGAGGGATGGACTAGTCATCTTTTTTAACCTGAGCTCTGCTGCCAGAACATGAGGCTATTAATTTAAAACTGCAGTGACTGAAGTGTTCCCAATGAGGCGAACAAACAAATGTACAAATATTCCACTTTAGCAGCACTACACTGTAGAAGACTTGTGATAATAACTTGACTCCACAGCTCAGAGATAATGCCCAAAATTCTGCCCAAAAAACTGTCATAAATCATCATCATCTGGAAACAACTGGGCCAAAACCTAATCAGTCTTTTTGGCTTCCATTTGCAGGGGAGTGATGATGGGGTACCGTGATTGGCTCTGATGGACCCACACAGACGGAGTAGAGGAGAAGACACCGACTTCTCCTAAAGACTTTGTAATGTCACAGGACATTGTTATCAAAACATATCATGGGGAAGGAGCTTTCGGCCAAAACTCAAGAGGAAAACCACTGAAAGAAACTCCTAAACAAGAGCGCTGTCGTTGAAATGTTTTAGCTACATTGTGGAAGCATAGTCTTGGCTGAACATAACTCTGCTTATCAGAGAACATTGTGTGGACAAACATCATCGCAGCTGGCAATGGAGGGAAGTGAGAAGGCGCAGTGGTGAGTTCATGTCCTTCCTGTATGAAGAGAAAAAATAGCCCTGCTGTAACATCGCTGGTCGAGGTTATACAAGTGTTGACAGATGGGTGAATTCAAAACCACCACCTTTAGCAAACTTTCTCACAGCCGGCGGTTGCACCCTGTCGAGAGCACTTTTCTAACCCATTGACTAGCGCCTAAAAAGATGTTAAATTGATCTGACAAAAAAGCAAAGGTCTAAGTAGAACCGTGCATTCTGGCTTGAGCCCTTTCAACTGACCCAGCAGGGAGCACCGATGTGAGCAATAGCTACTTTCTCCACAGTCTCTTCCCTCGACTGCTTTTACTGACTTTTCAACTGGCATTAAAAGGCGTTCACTTGATCCCAATGGTCCATCTGTTCGGTGGAACGAGACTGAACTGTGAATACATCTTGACAAACTGAAAGGTGGATGATTCACATGTGTTTTCAACCACTGTCACCCATATGTTTGAGGCCTGTGGGTGTCTTCCCAGAACACTGAGCAGTTCTGGCTCTGGTGTTTGGCTTTGAGGATTTAAGGGCCCCCACCTCTCTCTTTCTGAACAGCTTCTTTTACTCCATCGCCTCCATTGTCTTCCACTCTTCGCTTCCTTCCTTCCTCCCAAAGTTCTTCTTCTGGTATTCTTTAAGTTTGGTCTTTTCTCTATCCCTCTACTTCCACCCAAGTCTTCCCACACCCAGAGAAGAGTCACCCAACTATATGACTAGTTTGAGGTCATACATTGGAACTTCTGCCAACACCATCATCGTCATCTACACGTTTAGTCAGACAGAAAAGAAAAAAATCCAGTCGAGGTCACTTAGGACTGGAAAAGTTCTTCCCATTTTGGGATACGAGTGAGTCAGCGCAGTGGTTGCCACGATTAAAGGTTCTTGTTGTGTTGTTAGTAGCAACAAGTGCCTAAATATTTGTGATTTATTTATTTTTGATCCAGATTGGTGCCATATTGGTTGCTGCTGCACTTGGAAAGCTTGCATCGCCAAAGGGGACAAAGGGTCAGCTATTTTAAAAGATTGAACTTCAACACCCAGGAATGTAATGACGTGACCGCGTGTCGCTCAACGAAACCCTGACGTGTTTATGAACCTGTGATCCGCTTTTTGAAAACCAGAGACATAGGGGGGCATTCTGAACGAAAAAGGGAACTTCAGGATCCATAAACTGGACTCTTTACAACCTAGGGGACTTAATGATGACTTTGATAGGAAAGTAAAGCAATAATAAGTAATGATTTTGTAGTCATTTCCTAGGTTGACTAAATATCCTGTTAAATGTCGCTTTAGCACTTCATGTTTTTAGGTCATTCTGCTGTGGCTCACTCCTTTTATGTACCGTAACTGCATTTGTTTTACTTTTTATTTGGGCATTGACAAGAACGTACTTCTCATTCCTTTGTCTGGTGTTTTACTTGCTGGATTTCACAGACCTTCCAGTCGGGTTATGCTATTTATTAACCAGTATATAGTGTGTATAAATTACACATGCCATTGATAATGGATTTCTTCCAAACTGCCCACCCCTACTTGTATGTTATGTTTCTCTGGGTGATGTTCTATGTATGTCTATGGTCGTATTCTTATTTTCTGTCAAACATTAAAAGATATGTAAAAAGGTATGAGACAGGTAAAAGGAGAACATATCTTTATTAAATGACACATACAATTTGTAATTCCTGTTAGTCTTCTATCACCACAGGTGTGTTAATAATGACTCGTCCTCCATTGTATTTGTTCTGTGTGTTTGGTATGTCTCCTGTTTGATTACAAGGTGTGTGCAATGGAGATTAGAGTACAGGTGCTTTGATTTATTTTCATTTACAAAATTTTTAAAAGTACGCAGCACCTTTTCAAACTTGACTGATAAATCTGAAACTGTAATACTAGATTCCTCACAGAGGAAACTTCTTTGACCCAGTCTCTCCCGCTACTTCGGATTTATACTGCTCAGATTGGGGGGGGGTGGGGGTGGGCTCAAGTAGGGCTCGAGTATTTGGGGAAACGGGTCACACATTGACAGAATACATCCACACAACATCAGCAAACAGAGCATTAATCTTTCAGTCCAGTGGTGCAGCCAATCAAAAGACCAGGAATGGAATTTTGCAGCCTTACGCAAATGCAACTTCCTACCAGACAAACGCATACCGTTTTGGAGGGTGAGGTAGGAAGAGATCAGAAAGGGGG